ACACTGGTCGCCGTGTCCTGAACGATGAACAGCAGGCCGACTCAACTTGCCAGCAGGTCCAAGATGGTGTTGAAAAGGCGCAGGAAGAAGTGACCAGGCGTCCAAAGCGACAAGCTGCGGTCAAACAAGACGAACTCATCAAGTCTCTCCTTCGTACTGGAAGCATCTAGAGCATGCTTCTCAAACATGTATGCTAAACGTTGTTTAGCATCAGTCCGCGGGAGGGTGTGAGAAATTGCAATTCCACAATATCTCATATATGCAATCATTCATTATCCCAACGCCATTGCCGACCTCCCCTCTCTTCCTATCGCCACTTGTGGGGGGCCGGGCGGGTAGGGGAGGAGCGGCCGGCCCAGTGGAGCGGCGGCCACGTCAGACGCAGGGCTGCCAGCTGATTGGCCGGCTCAGAGGACTGCCGCCCGGGGCGACCGGGTCAGCGGTCGCTGACCTTGCCCGAGCCAGACGTCCAGTCTGCTCTGGTCTCGAATGGGTCGCGCGCGTGCAGTGATAAACGGCAGTGCAGTGCGCTCAAATACTTTCAAACTTGAACTACGACTACCTACCTCAATGCCACTACTCGTGGTGTCCTGTCATACTCAAGAGAGGATACTGCAGTGACACAAATAATCACAGAGGCCAAACCGACAGACAACTACCCAGGTAAGCCCGGCCTCGCAGTGGCATCACTTTTTTCCTTTCCATCATTTTCCGTGTTCGAATTATTCATTAATTCCTACAGTAGCGCTGTCACTGAGAGTCGTTCCAGTGAGCCATATGTGGGCGGATACAGCCTCCGGTGGCCGCCACTGGTGTGGGCGTTCACGATTCACGGCCGTTCACGATGTCATCAGGAGCAATGGACGGTGATCGGTGACCGGCGACGGTGACGTGAATGACCGGCTAACCGGACGGTCGACGGAGGCGACAGTGCCACGAGAGGTGACACAATGTTGGACGTGTGACGACACCGGCGGGCAAGAGCGTCCCTTTAGAACCACCACCAGACACTGATACCTCTCTCCGCTACCGGTCTCCACCACCCGTTTCCTCCGCCGTTCCGTCCTCTGTACCGCGGCCTTCCTGGGTCGCTGGGCCGGTCAGCTGGTCTGTGCACGGCTGGCTGGGCCCGGCAGGCCGGGTCCCCACCACCCAGCCGTGGTCGAGCGTGCCAATACCGCTGCTCTGTCTTCTGGGTGCTTCCTCGACTCTGTACTTTGCCTATCTCCTTCCCTCCAACATCTGCTTATTCTCCGTCTACCGGGCGTGCCGTGATCTACCCTTAAGGTGTCTCCTCCGCTCCATCTCAGAAACTCTCTACCCCTAGAGCCACCTTCCTCTTTCTCTTGGACATTCCCACGTCAGTTGTCTCCATTCTTTTGACATCTTGACATCGTTTCCTCAGTTGCCTCCATTCCTCTGGCCTACGAACGTCCATGCCTTTCTGATGTCTCCTCCACTCCTCCCTGCGGCATTCCGTCCCCTCAGTTCTCCATACCTCTGTCCCTCAGTCGCTCCGCCCCTCTCTCCCACAAAGTGACCGGTCGCCCTCTCCGCGCCCCGGTGCAGTCGTGTGTGTGTCTATCTGTCCCTGCGTGCAGGGGACGGGAAGACACGGGTATCGACCCCCTGTTCTGGCAAGCTGAGTGGAATATACTGACCGCAGCGGAGGGGCACCATCAGGGCCTCGGCCGTCGTGTGGCCTCCCTCCGGTCACTGAGCGATGGACTCGCATCAGCCTCATCTCGAGGGAACGCAGAACATGCCGCCCCAGAGGGAGGAATTCGCGCGAAACTGCAATTAGGTAACGCACTTGGCGTTTGTGTTTAATTAACGTCACGTTCGATACATAGATTTTCGCAGAGCGTCTGGGCTTCAGAGAAGCAAAACAAGTCGCGGTGGGACACTGGGTCGGCCGCCTGCTGAATACGCCAGCTGCGTGCCGGCGCACGGCGAACCTCGGGGGACACGTGATAGGAATACGCCAATCAGAGCTGTTTTCTGTATCGCGAGTAAACGCGAATCTGAACACCAACCGGCCTGAGTTATGCGATTTATTGGCGTTCGCGGGGGCTTCGTGAGCGCAATGCCAGCGATAAACGCCGACTGTTTCCTCTGAACGGACCAGACAGGCGACAAAACATTTGGGAACAGGTGGTTTTCAAGTACGTTTCACGATTGACATAATGGAGCCTAAACTGATAGGACGATATAATTGTACGTGAAAAAGTACCCTTTTTGTCCAGCATTGCGATTTTGAATATCACGGTATTGGATGATGACTCTAAATACAACAGATCAAGCTAAGAAATACGTGGGCTAGAAAAGTCTGAGCTCACTATGTCACTAAAGACCGTTATGCGGTGCGCCGTCGCTCGATCAATGCGCAGCACACTGTACTCAGAATATGCCTTCCCACAGCGGCAGATCTCTTAACTCAGGTCTACTCCGACCCCGCTCAGGTTCTGCCAGTCAGTACCCCCTGAGCTGAGAGGATGGACTCGCCCTTCAGCGGCGAGCCTGGTTTATCACCAACTGCAGAGAGACCATCCCCCGTCTGGCACAAACGGAGATGAAGTCGACTACCTGCCGGCGCCGTGATGGACCGGTAATCTCCGTCCAGATGCAGTTGTGAGACGGCTGGGAGTCAGACTGTCCATCGCAGTCGAAATCCCGACTAAATGGAGGTGGGATGCTGTCTAAAGGTGAAACTGAAACTGGATGTTCTCCGGCGTCCACATTCCAGTAAGGATGGTAGCAAGACTGCTGAAAGTAGAATTGTCTACCACATCCCACATTCCATTCATGACAAGGGCGGCGTCGCCGAAAGTGGAATTGTTCACCACCGTCCACATTCCGCACAGGACAGTGATGCGATTGGAGGTGGAACTGTCCACCGCCATCCACCTACAGACCAATCCACCTAAAGAACAGTCCACCTACAGACCAGTCCACTGTCACGGACCAGTCCACTGACACGCGGACTACAGTCCGACGTCAGTACAATAGCCCAGCAGGGCCAGTCCGTCCAGTCCAGTCCGTCCGTCCAGTCCAGTCCGTCCAGTCCAGTCCGTCCGTCCAGTCCAGTCCGTCCGTCCGTCCAGTCCGCACAATGGGGCGGCTCGATCCGACGCGGCAGGAGTGGGCAATCGTGGGCAGGAAATTGGCCGCCCCGTCACCGCCTGCCACCGATAGAAAGTACCCATGCGGCAGCTGACACCGATAGAGAGTGTCATCAGTGGCTGACACCGACAGTGTCCACCGACTGACACAGAAAGATGGTGTCCATCAGTGGCTAACCCGGCAGTGTCCACCGGCAGCTGACACCAATAGAGTGACTGACACCACCGACTGACACCGACAGAGACCGTCATCAGTAACTGACATCGGCAGAGTGTCACCAACCAGCTGACACCGATAGTGTCCAGAGAGTGTCTACCGGCAGCTGACACCACCAGAAAGTGCCAGTAACTCAGTATGACCCACGCGTACACCGTTGAAGCTTCAATAATACTAATAACACTTGTATCACACTTATCTGCAAGAAAGAACCCAAATGGAGAGAAACGCCCCAAGCCTCTACCTCAGATCTCCCGAAGACCTGAGAGCGAGTGTTGTTTTTCAAGCTTCCTCTGGAACTTCTGTGATTAAGAAGTAACTTTCCTGAATTGGATTCAATCGAGGCGTCTAATAAAACACTCCGCCGGTGAATGCAGTTAGAAACTTCTCTCAACAAAGCTCGATTTCCTTGAAAGTGTTGCTGATGTGGTCTCTGGAGAGTCTATAATGAACACAAAGGCGAACAACATTAAACAATCGTCATCGCAGGGCACCTGCTACACACGTGACGTCATCGGTCTGTCCAATATGACGTCATCGAACGTCATCGTGGGTCTAAGATCGGATTTCCCACGGATTTCCGTTATAAAACTTATTGTTGATCGACTGACCGGTCAGGATTACCGTTTAACGGTGCCAGTGAGGAAATTGAAGGGCGGGACCCAGCCGATAACCGGAGTCCGTGCCTGCTGGTAGCACAAAGCCAATTATAGATAACGGGTGACATATGGACGCCGTTAAAGCGGGACCCCGCTGCGGACCCATAAATAGGACGCCGTGCAGCGTCGCGGCCCGCCGGCCGGCCGGGACGCCCAGCCGTATAAATCATGATCGAATTCGACAGAGCAGTGTTCGGCCAGTGGCATCGACCAATACGCCCGGTTCTTCGGTACTACGACATAAAAACGCCGTAAAACTCATGGAAGTAGCATCTCGTCGCATTCTGAATTTTACAACAGAGTTCTCGCGACAAGTTTAAGTTCATAAATTTATATAATAAAAAAGAAATCAGATCGCTTGTAACTAAGGCACAAATGAATTTATGATGAGGGAGTAAGGCCTGGCTGTATCTGGCTCCAGTGTCCATGATGTAGGGGGTCGTGTGTCTTCGGGTCGGCTGCTTGGTCCATAAATCCGGTCATTGGGACCAAGTTGGAGAACTATGAGCCCCAGGGAGCCGTAATTCAGGAAGGAAGCTAATGCATGTCCCAGGTGCACGGTTAAGTCTCCGAGGGAAACCTTCGTTCGTTAAGAAGTTGGTGGAATGAGGAAAGATAACTAACAACGCCCGGCACGGCAGCGACATCGTCTCAATAAATGAATAATAAATATAAAATAAATAGCCAACGAAGTGTAATGCAAAGCCGTTCTAGAGCAACGACAGACCAATTCAACTGAACTCGTGTCCAAAATGAATTACCAAACAATGATGCATGGAGTAAAATAGGAAAAAATATCCGACAATAGACACAGATGCAGTACCAGCACCTAAACCGTAATTCAACTTCAAGCCCAGCGCTGATCCACAAACCTGCCACACCTGCTGGGTAATTCATGTGTCACTTACCCAACCCATCTCCCCGACATCTCCCCGGTGCGATATCTCTCGCCCATCTCCCACACCCGTCATCTCTCTCCGGTGACCGTCCCGTGAGTCTTACCATCGAGCACGGCCGGCGGTCCCAGATCCGACATGGCCTCGGCGATCCTCTGACAGAGCTGCGACTCGTGTCGGTCACTGTCCGTGTCCAGGGCGTCAATCAGACGCGGCGACTGCTCGTAACTGTCTGAAAGATGGAGAACAGAGGGGATCAGTGAGGTTAGAACACACATGACCTGAACACAGAGGCACACAGAGACACACTTTGACCAAAATACACGGACGAAAAGATTCAGCAGAGAAAGAACGCACGGACATGACACAGAGGTAGAACCACGAGGTCAGGATGCGGTATAGAATGACTGTGGCGTAGCGATGTTTGTTGATCGGTCACTAGGCTAAATAGTGCCACCAGTGGTACACATATTAAGTTGGGGTCCCAGCACTAATCGTGGTCTGAATGTGATAATGGGCTCCCTTTGAGGCTGTCGTCCAATTGTCAGGCCAGAGTTCGGCAAGTATTCAGCAGTCGTTCGATCTATCCTCACTTGGCCCATGGACATTCTATAGCGGCATAAGTCCGAAGACAGGCAAGTTCAATATTGACAAGTCTACACCCAATCATTCTACGCTACATGCGAAGAGCGTAGCGTAAACTATCCCTCAAGATAACAAGTTCAAACTAATCCTCCCCCATCCGCTACTTCAATGAATAAGTGACCTGTCCATTTGCCGCAACTGACCTCTTCTCGCCTTCAAAGGGGAATCGATTGCATCAACGATCCATCTCCCCTCAGCAGCCTCTTTAATAGAGACCCATCTCGTTGACCCAGGTGACCCTCCTCCCACCGGGGCGAAGGTAACGACCCACCCACCGAGCTCCGATGAGATAACGGCTCAGTCTACACGCCCTAACGACCGCCGCCAGCGGCCGTTACCAACTAAAATAGCGCCGTTATTAGCACGCTAATGACGCATTCTGTTTGCAGCTAATAGCGCGTAAGGCTCGCCGGCATGAGGCGATCGATGAACGAACCTTGAGGGGCGCCGGAACAAACTCAGAGGCGGATGTCGCGAGTTTGCTTTCTGCTAGCCCTATGTGACGTTTATTGTCGTCAAAGAACTTCGGTCTGGGTTTAAGACCGCCGTTGCCCTCACCATTCATTCCCCGTCATGTCAACAACAGACTGATGCTCTAGGAGTTGGCCCATTGTCACACCAGGCGGACATCGTGGGTGTGTGTACTCCAGCCAACGCAATGCATACAGATGGGCGGAGCGGCAGCAGCGTACCAGGATGTCCACTCCCAAAGTAGGTGCCAGGTGATTGACATACACAATGAAGCGAAGGCCACCAAAATAACCAATTACATAATACAAGCACACATACGAATTACAATGACGTCAATTAACAGTACAAAAGAGTCCTTTATTCCCTATCCCATCCATCAAACGAATCCGCCTTGCACTTGCACGCGGCTCAGCGCACGATTCAGGCCGGGCCGGTGCAAGATCAAATCCCAGCTCACCTATCCCGTCCCGGGGCATCCAGCCCCAGCCAGCCGAGCTCAGTGCCTACGCCGGGCCAGGCACGTATCTCTCCGACTCACGTGTCTAGTTGGAGCGGGAGGGGGTAATGCTACAGCACGGGGCCCGGTCTGGGGATGGGCTGGATGGGGTACAGAGTATGGTCCCGGGCTGGACTAGCGTCGCAGGCTGCACCGCCGCTGCTGCAGAACCACAGCCGGGGTATCCATCTCGCCTGGGCGATCGCTCGGCCCGGCCGGTTCATACATTATATCCGGGACGAGTGGTGGTGCGCACGGTAGCAGAGCTGAGTGGGGAGGGGGGGGGGGGGGGGGTTGATCCAGGAACGGGGCAGAGGGAAAGAAGGAAGTAGGAAACGGCGAGAGGCACATTACAGCTGAATAGTGATATAAGCACTAAGTAGCCCGAAAGCTGTTAACTTTAGGGAAGAAAGGTTCTTTTAAAAGGGAAATGTTAGTCCGTTGAGGTGGATTTCGAGCGCATCCACCGTCCAATGACTTATCAAACAGTAGTTTCAAACTACGTCTTTTTCTATACTGCACAGTGCACTCCATTGGGAGTATTCTGAAAGCTCTGCGAACTGTACTCACTGGCCGAGCCGCACTCGATGCTGTGAGAGGCCAGCTGGGCGGGCATGTTGACCGGGCTGGAGCGGGCTGCGCTAAGCAGGTCGCGGCCCTCAGAGGCACCTCTGGAACATACAGACACACAAAAAGGTCATACAGGCAGCTGGGAGACACATTATACGCATGGTCACAGTCCAGTGCGAGACAGAACGACAAATATGACAGGATTCCTTGACTGACATGAATAGCTACTATCATGATTTCTACAAGGCAGGGAGGTATCTTTGTGAAAAGTTCATAGAAAACACTGAAACAACAGATATACCATAGGGTCATATGCTAGTCACATGCGTCAGGATCATATCAATATGCAACTAGGACAGACCGCGGGAACGACTGCATCACCATCGGGCAGACGTCAGATGGGCCAATACCGCCACCGTCCGAGGGGATACCACGGACACAATAGGACCGGAAGGAGACGGCGGCTGGCGACGGGGGACGGAGAGTGGCGGAGGGTGGCGGCAGATGTACTGATGGTATCAGGACATATAGGGATACACGACGAGCCGCAGCGGTTGCGAATCCACATATACGACATATGAGTTATGACTGTCATAAATCCATGACTGTGAAACCATATGTCACGCTGTTGTTGAATAGCTGGTTCAAACTCAAAGACGCATCTTAATCAATCAATCTAAGCACAACTAGCAAATTTAGAAGACTGAGCAAAATTTAGAATGACCTCACACGAACGAAAGAAGTTTCTGCCAACAATCAGCATTACAAGTGACAGAAATGGAAAAGTTTCGAGTTCAGCAGCTTGATGCATCACATTCCACCCACTGCCACCCAACATTACCCCCACGTCACGCCGCCTCTTCTCCAGACGAGCTGCAGCTCCCCGGCCCTCTACTCGTCGTCAGCGTCCTCCGCACTCATCCTCCGGTAATCGATGAGGGCGCCGGCCTCTGACGACATTTACCGTCTCCACCGGATCCCCGTCCCCACCCAAACTCGCTGTCTGATGTGTCAACTCGAATCGTCCACACGCCGAGGCCGGTCCGCTCCACCGGCCGGCGGCGCTCGTAACCGAGCTCGTAACTGGCAACACGCCATCACACAGAAAGGCCAGCCAGGAGCGGTGGCCGGCGAAATAACCGGCGGCGGTCGGCACGGGCGCAATGGGCACCGCGGCGGCATTTCGGCAGCCGTGCCGGTCTAACTCGCCTCGCAAGACAGCCCAGAGAGCCGGTGTAACTGCAAATGTCGGCGCCGGTTAGGGCATGAGGTAGCCGGCGGACTCCCATGTCGCTTCCGATATATACCAGCGGAAAATGGCTGTGTGTTCTGCTCTTGGTTCCGGTAAACGTTTACAGAACTCCCAGCGGGAGACTACATAATGTGATGTGTGGCCAACGTGACCTTGACCTTCTGTTATGGAAAGGGGACGCGCAAAAGCCACATAATGTTGGCCGAATATAGCCGTGCCTTCATTGCCATTATCTTGTTCCGGCTTCTCTTATTACAGAATGTTAAGATAAACGGGAAAATGCACTGGCGCACCAAGGTAATTCTGCCGCACCTCCTGTATTTGAGAATCCGCAGCTGCAATATTAACCCGCGCCCCACGGGGGGGGGGGGCTATTTATAGCCCCCCTCCCGTTTTTCTGCAATAACTTCCAAACCGCTTGACGTATCGACGCCAAACTTTCAGTACCTTCGGCTGCATCAATTTGACACCTTGTGTCAAAAATTGAACTTCGTAGATACCATAGGTCGGCCGAAAATGACGTCAGAGTGACGTCATGTTCGGCCGATTTCGACGCCAAACATTGAACCACGGCAATCGCTCCCAAGGGCTCAGTTTTTAAGCTAGATCCAATTTCTTTGCATGAGAGGACTCAGAATAGACTGCACTATCAAACTGCTATCTCAGATTTTCGAAATTTTGAAAATTTTGAAAATTTTATATAATAAAATTCAAAATTTACATTTTTACATTTTTTTTCAAAAAGTTTTTGACTTTTCGAAAAAACGGAATATATGTGATAGAATGCGTTATTATGACTAACTCTAGCAAGTTTTAGCTAAATATCTTCAAAAATGGCCAAGTTATACGCATTATTGCAAAAAATTAACAATTATTAATTTTTCAAATCAATTTTTCACCACGTACTTGACATCGTACGCCAATATAAATAGCACCATCGTGTTCCTGAGCTCAAACTGCATCCAATAGACACCTTTTCTGTTGAAAAATTATAACTTCAAAATTTGACCTTTTTTGACCTGAAAGTGACCTGACCTAAGCTAAATTCGACTCAAAATGACCTCAAATGACACAGACGACATCAAATTCGAAATCTTTGGCCTAAATGGACCATAAAACATGTGTCACGTGACCGACGCATGATATAATATTTTCGTGACCTGTGATAACCTGACCTTGACCTGAAAATCAAAGTACAAGTTTGGCACCCTCAGGGTATCTAGAGCATCTGTTCACGAGTGTGTGAACCAAAAATGAGCCTGATCTGACTTGCAAGACGCGGCCAGAGCCCAAAACGTGAACAAGCCAAAATGCTAATAATTTTTAATTTGACCTGACCTGTGACGTCATCGGTGACCTCGAGGTCAATGAAATTAGGTTTCGCTCGACAGTTTTTCCGGGGCTATCAGACGCCGTTTGAATTTTGACGATCGGCCCAGCAGTTTCGGAGTTAGGAGGGGGGGGGGCTATGAATAGCCCCCCCCCCCCCCAGTAGGGCGTGTTATACGCAGACCCCAGTGGGGCGCGGGTTAAATGACGCTCCAAAGAGCAGAAAACCAGACCGGTCGATATGCATTACCCAAGCTTTCTCTCTTGGTTCCAGTCTCCTGCTAATTGAAGATTCCAATATACCTTCACCGCCGCTACAGACCTAGCCACTACACTTTTATCTGACATATCATCCGCCTGACGCATCAACATCTGACATCATACATCCGACATATCCTAGGCCCGACATCCGACACATCCTCTATCCTCCGTCCTCTACCCGACACCCGACACCATACCGACGGCTACGTTACTTTCCTCCCCCATCAGCGTCACGGGCTCCCCTAATGATCGTCATTAGAGACTCGCCCCACCACCGCCGGCGCAAGGGAAGGAGCAGCCGCCGGCGAGTCTCCGACTGATACGCCGCAGGTAACGTATCAGGTCAGGGCAGAGGATACGTAGCTGTTCGTGATTGACAGATTTGGGACGGACGGAGGGTTGTACGACAGCCCCGCGGTGAAGTGTTCAGCCGACGTACGCGGAATGGCTGGAGGTCGTTGGTCAGCTGATCGAGTCAGGCCACGTGATCAATCACGGGTCGTCCGGCGGACGTTCCGATACAGATTTGTTTGAAGTTGCCCGGGCTATCTCACAGACACGACCAGAATAAATGAACTTGTCAGGGATGCCTGGACCGTCACGTCCCCAACTTTGCCACTGAAGCTATCGTTAAAAATCTTCCTCTGACGCGCCGCAGCCATATTGAAGAAGAGCGCAAAGTCCCTGGCTTCTCATGTCAGAAACTTTGCCGACGTGGATCTCAGTCGGCGTCAAAAGTAAGACGGTAGCTAGTTTTCTCGGCACCCGTCTTATTCCTTAATCATGACAGTGAATCTCTGCAAGCGGTGCTACGGGAAGAGTAGTACCATAAACTGTCCGCCGAAACCTGACCTCTTCTGAGTCGAACTTAGCAAAGTCCGCAGTCCGGCACCAGCGGGTAGCAGATGGGTAATAGCACGCTCTGCCACGCGAAAACAGCCCCAAATGCCCGACCTAACACTATCTGGCACTACTTCCGGTACCGGCACAGGCAGCCACCGAGTCGTTATTATGGTAGCTGCGTCAATACTGTGATCACAGCGCCCGTACCGTCGATACCGGCCGTCCGTGCGGAGCGACCGTCACGTCACGACAGCCAGGGATAACTGCCATAAACAGAGATCTGATCAAGGGCCAGGGACTGTCACGTCTCTGAGGGCACGGACTCGGTCAGTTTGGCCAGTCAGTCCGGAACTTCAGAAATACTGTCAGCCTTCAACGTATTGTGATAAGCTAATTTGTACTCTTCGTAATTTTAAGTATATCTCAAGCTCTGCGTACCAGCCATGCCAGAAATGAACATTAATGAAAATGGGACTGTGACGGAGCTCGTCTTATCATCAGCGGCGGCACAATTCTGTTCACCGTCTCGACACATATCTCGTCAGCATTTCACACGTTCCGTCTGCAACCCAGCATCTCTCTTCCCCGGATCACTGCCGCGCGACGACATACGAAACCGGGACCAGAATTCACAGAGCACGAAATAGCACGGGAAACGACAGGAAATTGGATGCAGTCAGAGTGAGAAGCAGACAAAGAAGAGAGACCGGCCACGGTGGCAGATTGATCCGCCGTGGACGGGCGCAGGATGGTATGGCTTAGCGCTACACTCCGGGATCCAAGATGAAAGACGCCTTATGATGGGATCTTAGGGCGAAGTTAATGATGTGGCTTCTCGTATGAAAGACGATGCCGCCTGTGCGCACAGGATAGCTGAAGAAAAACGTCCGGGCACGCAGACAGCTGGGATGATGAAAGGACGCCAGGGGCGGATGGAAACTGTATGACGGTATGAGGCACACGCTACTAATCTTTCGATAAGTAGCGAAAATATATCCCCAATATCCCGTAAGATATAAATGGAGCTTCTGAGTCAAGTACCTTTCTGTCAAGCAGTTATAAGTAATTCATAGGCAGCCCTTATCCTACTTGAGTATTCATGAGAAACCTGAGCCAGACTGCAAGTACAGGGTGACACAAAAAAAAACGGTCATCACCAAATTTCGAATACCTAACTTCGGAAGTTTTATTCAGATCATCACCAAACTTCGGCCACTTAAGGTCACACCTATGTAGCATACATCCACCAAGTTTCAAGTCTTCACTACGATTACTTTTAGTACAGTGTGTGTTTTACTGACGCTCCACAATGTGCTCCAGGTGAGCGCCACGGCGCTGCAGGGCGTAGGCACACTTGCATCCGGCGGGCAAAGTTGTCGATAACCCGATGGCTGTGCACTTTACAGAGTGCAATGGCCTCTGGAGACAGTGCTCAGGGGGTGTGCTACCCCTGAAACGTTATTCTTATCGGGTTATCGACAACTTTGCCCGCCGGATGCAGGTGTGCCTACGCCCTGCAGCGCCGGGGCGCTCACCTGGAGCACATTGTGGAGCGTCCGTAAAACACACACTGTACTAAAAGTATTCGTAATGAAGACTTGAAACTTGGTGGATGTCTGCTACATAGGTGTGACCTAAAGTGGCCGAAGTTTGGTGATGATTTGAATAAAACTTCCGAAGTTATTCGAATTTTGGTGATGACCGTTTTTTTGTGTCACCCTGTATAAGAAAACATACGCCTGTAGCCAAGCCTCACGGATCTGGAATTAATGTATTCAATTCTCAAAGGTGGTTTTTGAACCATCGAAAACACCCAGTAGTTTTATACCCGGCGAGGCGCCGCCTGCTCCGTCACAACATAAAAGTTCAAATGGGCTGAACAGAACATAAAAATGGCACGCAAAACAAAAACACCCGGGGCTGGGGAGCCTACGAGCGAAGGGACAGACAGAGGCACGACACGCGATACTAAAAGCGCGTTAGAACAGAGTATGAAGAGGCGAGGTAGAAGAGGCGAGGTAGATGCTGTTGAACGACAACACAGCGTACACAAAGACAACAGGGGCTGACGTCATTGAACAGGCTCGGCTTAGAGCTAAAAGCGAGGAGCGTGGGCGACATATATAAATAAGAAAAAAGTTGTTTCAACAGAGAGCGTGCATGCAAAGAGCACGATGGCATCAAGAAATGAAACTAAAAGCAAAGAGCGAAAGCAAAAATAAAGAGAGGCGCACAGAATGCGCAGTGATACTGACCCGGCCGAGTCTGAGAAGGGTCGGAACGAGAACTGCGGCCCCATCCAGAGCCGCCGGTGGGGGCCCGAGTGGCTCAGAATCTCCACCTGGGGACGAACAGGGCACACGCTGTCAGATGGGGTCATACGAATGACGCAGGTAGTTACGTGTCGCGTCATACACCCATCAATTGTCAGATCTTATTTGCATGAGATATATCTGAAAAACTGTCAAGTAAAATTTGCGAAAAATGTATTGCACTTGCAGACGATAGATACTTTTGGTAGCAATCAAATGACGCATTCTGACAGAGTGAAAGCAAACCACCCCGACGTAAAACATTCGCACAATAAACGGATGGACTTTTATACAGAGAATCAAGAATCGTGATACGAAATACAACGTCGAGTAATCACAACTTCGGGTAGCCTTAGCTATGGCGCCACCAAAGCCTCAACCTTTAAGATACCAGCACTCTTTATACGGCGTCAACCTCCCCTACAAAAACAATCGCTCATCAGTGGACCGTCCCCGTCGCCGCTCATCAGTGCTCGTTCCGTCAATCACAGTGAATCCAGCCAGCTCAGCGCCGTATCAGAGCCCGTCAGACGGCCCTCATTTGCCGAATTCTGCGGCCGTGTGGCGGGCGGGAGGGGTGCCGAGCGCCGGCGCTGACGAGGCACCGTTCCACACTTTTCCGTCGCTGCTGTCGCTGCCACCATCACGTTTCATCCCTCCTCGCCTACCGTCGTCGTCGCCGTCGTCGCCCGTCGCTCTCGACGCGAGGCGCGCTGACGGGGACCGGCGTCCCGCGGCGCCGACCGAGACACCTCATCAGGCCGATCAACCAAGCGGAACGTCGCTCTAACCGTCCCGTCGGCGACAGGCGCCCCTCCGAGCACAGCTGAGCGGGCTCCCCCGGCTCTCCCTGGTTTCCAGGCGACCGAGACTGGACGCGGATGGGATCGTTGGGTTGATTCGTAGCGTTAGAGACGGAGAAAAGCGTAGGCCGTGCTGACGTCAATACGATGACTGAGGTGAACGAGGCAGTGACAGTGGGAATCACCGCGGATCTGATGGTTTGGCCAGCGTAGCGCATACATCCATTCTTAGCTCTAATCCAGACCGCCCGATGGCTGTCTCCGGCGTCACAGCCACGCGTTCGCCGTCAGTCCAACATCACAGCTTTTGAATATTCATCAAGGCACGTCCCAAATACCCTCCCTACAAGACCGATGGAACTAGAATAGACACATCGCTCCTAGCCATATCCATCCCCGCACAGTTACCAGGCGCGACAACCATCCCCTTCATGACGTCATGTGTGACACCACAGAGTACCAGTGAGGTCTCCAAGCCAGCGACTGTTTCACAGCCCCATGCTAGCGGTGGCAGGGCGGAGGTCCGGCGGGCCGTTTGGCGGAATTGGTCGGTCAGGGGGCAGTGGGGACTGAGGCTGGTAGTGGGATGGTGTGAATGTTAATGGAGCGGGGATAGTCGGCGGGGATGATTGGGACGGCGCATCAGGGGTGGGGCGGAGGGTGGGGAACCACGGAGATGGGACAAGGAAGCCAGGAGGGAGGAAGGGAGGGAGGAGGGAGGGAAGGAGGGAGGAGAAGAGAGAGAGAGAGAGAGAGAGAGAGAGAGAGAGAGAGAGAGAGAGAGAGACGAGAGACGAGAGACGAGAGACGAGAGACGAGAGACGAGAGGGATGAGATGTGAGAGGAAATAAGGAGAGAGGAAAAAGAGGAGTGGTAGATGATAGGAAATATTAGAGATAAAATTAGCGTACAATAACCATCAGAAAGCAATATAGGAAAATCGAGCGGTAATCGACTCCCAGCCAATCGCCCTGCAGCCGCCCGGCAGAGGTGACAATATGCGACTGGACAATATAGCGGCACGTATAGTGGAAGCAATTTACGAAACAGTCGCCGTTTCAGAGCCCGCTGGCCGGACCGTCTCCGAGCCAACTGACCGTCTGAAATTGAGCCCAACTGGCGGGGACCGGTCTCAATATAACCTCCCAAAACGGCCGGTCGGGGAGAGTGGTGCCGAATGGAGCGGCGACCGCCGGGGACCGGATACCACCGCTGGAAACAAATGGCAGAGAGATGTCCATGGAACGGCGCCGCAACGGACCGTTGTCATCAGCTGCCTCTAATGGTCCGTCATTACCCCCAGGATACCGGACCCATTTCCGAATAATTGATCCGGCCAAATGAAGTCATCTGAGGCCAAATCACCGCAATCACGTTCATGCGGCGGACGAAGGGCTGCATTGACGTTTCCATTCGGTTTAATGGAAGTCGTCCGGTGCCGGCGAGACGGATGGCCTTCACGTTTCAATTCATCTTCTTAAAATGTCGGAGGGCACCACATCAGGCCGACCGCGGGCCGCCGGGAAGCGGGCTTTCAAAGGAAGGAGAGGTAACTCTGCACGTGTCTGAAGGGATCAATGGCTGCAGAGTCGGCCGCTGGGAGAGGATCAGACCAGTGCTGTTACCTGCCGGTAGTAACATCAGAGAAGTACTAAGGAGAATCACGGCATGATGGTGTGGTGAATATATGATAAACTGAGCCAAATCACGATAAGTTCCGTATGGTTCACGGACCACGGCACGTGTCAAAGCTAATCACGAAAGATATCACGATACATCACGAAACGCAGTGTCAGACACGATATTCGCCGAGCGGGAGCAATGCGATACCGCAAGGACATGACAATAGTCTAAAGCCTGAACACAACCATATAAGCACGTACTCGGAATAGCCGAACTTTAGTTCAAATACAGCCCGGTCTGAATACAACCTAGGCACGCATTAGTGCCAAACTTCAGTTGAAATACAAGACCTGAGTATCACCGACCGGCGCACTGAAGCATCCAGAAATACCCAGGGAGGGACGGCTCGGTCCAAATGGCCCCGTAAAAGCCCGACAGTCAGTGCGCATTACGGCGAGGAGAGGAGAATATGGAGGCAGATGACAGGAGAAATGTAGCGGGAACTCACACGGGACTGGGGAGCCGTGCCAGCAGACGAAATACTGGGCCAGGATTAGGCGGAGAGGAGGCGAACCGCAGAGAGATACAATATTGGCTGGAATGAGAATGATAAGCAGAAAACAGGAAGTTCCACATACAATCACACATAAGAAGCCTCTGACTGGCGACAAGGCGAGACAAATATGGCGGAAAAGATCCCAACACTTCCTGTTCCGTTGCCAGATCTCGGTGTGAGAATCCGCCCCCGTGCCCGTGTCAGCAGTGACTGAGCGGTGCCCGTTTCCACCGTCCCTACCGGGTGCCTGATTCATCCTCCCATAAATCGCGGCCGAGTATAGCTCCATCGCGGCTCTCACCGTCCGGGGACCGTCTGTGAGTCGGGTGGTGTCCGACGGCCGTCTGTCATGATCACAGGTTTAGCCGTAGCTGGCCAGCTGGTCTATCATGATCACAGCTAAAGTAATAATAAAGAAAACACCTGACCATCTGGACTAGCGTGAGCACCGGGTTACGATCATCGAGCCACTCGTAACAGCCGGGGCAACAGCTGTCCGATTATGAACGTTCTTCGAAACTCAGCGTATTTTTCCGAAATTAATTCAAGACTGAGCTAGACACAATTGAATTCCATGTTTAGTCTTGTTAGTTATTGTAATTGAAACTTTGTCCAGCCTCCAGATTGCTCTATTCAGTATTCCGTGTGAATTCGTTCGCTACCGCAGCCCAAGCTCCACGGAGCAGTGGTGGTGGTGGTGGCTGCAGAGGCGGCGATGACCCCAGTCGTAATACGCTGACCCGGCACACTGCTGGGGCGCTGTGGGGCCACGACGGGCCCCGGACCGACCACAGAGCCAGGCTTACCGCAGACGACCGGATATGAAGACAATGCCCGCCTACCCAGAAACGAGTGAGAGAGAGGAGGGCGGAGAGGGAGGGAGAGAGGGAGGGAGAGAGAGAGAGAGGAGACAGAGGGAGAGAGAAGCGGAAACGGGTCGAGTGGGATCGAACAAGAATGATCGCAGTTGGATTAGACATTCATCTTTCACTCAGAAAGGGAGGCTGGCATCAGCAATCGGATATGCCGCGACACAATGGCGCCGGCCAGTCCAATCAGATGCCAGTAAATAGCCCGACATCACGTCTCGCATACAGGCGCTGGATGGCGGCGTATCACTGCCGAGGAATCCATTACGGATTCTCCTCCAGCTTCTGCGATCAACCATCGGATGGCACGGCTCTGGATCGCGCCACTCGGCCGCTGAAAAACTCGCCCGGCACGCCGCGTCCAGACCTCATCAATACAGCGCCGCCGATCCCTTGAGCCCGCTTTGCTGGCGCCAATCCAGCGAGCCTCACCCCCGGCGCGGGCACGTTCGGCCGGCCAGGCAGCTCAATTGGGGGCCGCGATCCCCACGGCCGTTTAAAAACCATTTGTCGCGCGGGCTGGCGCGGTAACCATATAACCGGGCAATGCGCCGCCGAAGCAGCTTTTTCCGACAGAAAACCGCTCAGTAAACTAGAAAAGCACCCGGAGAACCCGTCGTAAGACAAGTCACGCGGTGATGGACTATCGGCTCGGACGGTAACAGTGGCAATAAGTCAATCGGAACTGCCTCAGGGAGACGGTGTAACTCATCGGAGGATGTTCTGAGGCAATCAGCGGAGTTCGGAGGAGAAACATGTCTGCTGCTGGAGGTTCGAGCGGTCGGGTCGAGTCGATATCAGATAAGTGCGGAGCGTCTGGCGTGTGTGTGGTAGCGATATCGATATGGGGGAAGTTGGACATGTCATGAGGACTTAAAGCGGTTCCAGTCAGAGTTTGGACGATACTCGCGGTGAATCAAAGTCGGGTATCTGAGTCTGGATGGAATCACAAGTACCCTGGCTCAAACTAAAGCCAGGGTACACTCGGGGGCAGATTGATGTTCCACCACTCCCTACGGCCTACCTATCGGGCTCCCATGGCTCAGCACTGACTGCTGCCAATGGCAGCACCATGGCCTACCCATCGGGCTCCCATGGCTCAGCACTGGCTGCTGCCAGTGGCAGCACTGGCAGCACTGGCACTGGCAGGCAGTGCTGAGCAGTGCTGAGGGCAGGCAACACTGGCAGCAGCCAGTGCTGTGCCATGGGAGCCCGATAGGTAGGGAGTGGTGGAACATCAATCTGCCCCCGAGTTACTAAAGCCATAATGGCATCGATAAAGCAAGAAGCTTTACGAAAGTATAATTCTCACACCACTGTTCCAGTAAGTGCATCGACCATCGTGTTTCTTTTTTTTTTCAGCTTCACAGCAACCGCGGGGGCGGTAGGAAAGGATAGCTTCGGGGTCCGGGGTAGCCGAATCGTTCTTAACGCTTGATATCGTCAAAAGAACTCCCATCCATCATCCACCTCTCCATTGGCTCCTCTCCCCCGCACCCTCCCCGCACACTGACCTGCGAGACCCACTGTTCGGCTCCGGCCGGCGGTGTGGGCGGCGCCGGCGGGGTCGGGGTGTGCAGCAGTACACTGCCGGTGGCCAGCGGAGGCCGCACCTCGGGCCACACCGTCTGGCGACACAGCGACCACTGGGCGTGCGCGTGAACCGTGACCTCGACCGGCGCGTCCTCGGGCACTCGGTCCTTGGCGATCACTGGAACAGGGGACACCAAAGTCAGGCATAGTGGCACAACCGGCAACAAAGTAGGGCGACAGCTGGTAGGCACACTACATATACCGGCGATGTGCCGTAGCCAGAAGTTGCAAAAAAAAAAACTACCCAAAATGCTTCCACAAAAGTGAATCAGCAGTGAAAAGGAAAAGTTATAAGTGATGGTGACTGTGTGAAGATAAAAAATATTCAATCGCAACAACAATTACTATACACATGTCTTGCCTTCACACACTAACGCAATACCATTCCCAGACAGTCGTGATCCCATCCTCCATCAGTCCACCTGACCTATGAACGCCCCCTCACCCCACCCCACCCCGACATCCGTGCCGCACTCCAGCTGTCCCGCAGAGTCCCATAAATTCCACTCTGCTGTCCGACCAGACAGATGCCATTCCGGTCACCCCGGTTCAGGCCTTCCTTGTCGGCCAGGAGACAGACTGGGAGAGAATTAGAAACCAAACTCGGAGCCCTACATACGAACCACGAAGATACGGTCTCAAGGCAGCCAATATATGAGCCACCTAGCACCGCGCTGACTCAGGCCCTAGGGACGTATTTTGCCGCTACGCTCACTGCTCGTAGCTTGGACACTAGAGTTCTGCACGGCTGCAATTTTCCACAGCCTAGCCGCCCCGCAGCCGTGGCTCCACAGCCACAGCCGCCCACAGCCGTGGCAAACTGTGGGCAGCCAGCCGTCAGCCGGCCGTGGATACTTTCAATGAAATGCAACCAAATAGTATATAATAAGTTGTTTTTAGTTGAAACATATAGCCAAAGGCACATTGCAATGGGCTATAGATTCTCAAGCTCATGAAGCATCATAGGTTAAGTGGTTGTGTATCTGGCTTTAGGCCGAAGGCCTGAAGCCTGATGCGCAATGCATGCCTACACAAGCCCTTGCAAGATGAAAGTTAAGAAGAGTTAAGAAAGATGGGTAGGTAGGTACCTACATCAACAGAAAACATAAACAACAAACCAGAATAGAAGCACTAGCAGTGTAGACATCTAATGCCAAATCCTGAAGCATGGTTGTGGGACAGAACAACAGACCCTGATGCTTTTCATTATCAATGTTAGGTATGGAAAATGAAACTGAAGTTGATGGACTGTCAAACAGTGATTGTCTAGTCAAAACTCTTGCTTCTTTCTTACCTTGCATATTTTCTGGGGTGTGATATGCCAGGCTTGAAGCAGCCTTCTGAGCAAGTCTCAAAATAATTTGATATGCAAGGCATCAAAACACTAGTGAGCATCCAAGAAAGAAAAACATTCATCTACTCTGATTTTTCCAAATAATGATCTTCGCTCAAATCCCCAAGGACGTGCGAGCCAAAATTGCATGTTTCAATCAAAAATTTTACTTGAGTTTTTAATGACGTCAATAGAAAGGAAGTGCCAATAAGTTGTTTTGTTTCACTATAAACAGCCAAAAAATTATAATTTTTAATAATAAACCTATGCACTTAAAAACTTGCTCTAAAACAAAGATCAAGTATCAAATTTTTACATTTTTAGAAGAAGACGTCATTTTGTTATAAAGTCAACAGCTCGCTAAGAAATATTGTGTTCAGGGTTTTCACCGTCATGTGAATTACGTGTTCAGGGTTTTCACCATCATGTGAATTAACCGTAAGTAAGGTTCATGCTCACTTATAATCTAATTCCATTGGCTTCATTGATCGGTATTTTCTGTTAGCGGTCACTCACACACCAGTTAGAACATAAAGCGCCAGTTTTATATTATGTAATTGGACTTGCCGAAAATCCAGAAATTCATCTAAGAGGTATTTTAGATAATATTTTATTAAGCCTTTACCTGCCTTTACCTAGGCATGATTTCTTTTTCTATTACCTGAAAGAACTATTGAACGCTCGTCTTCAATAGCTGTAAGGTGCTCTCCTAATGACCAGGTGAGATTGATTTGAGAGGGATGTGACAATGCAACATGTTGCATTTTCTGAAACTGTCAAGCTCTTGATGATGAAGGAACAATTGGTACCTATTATTAGTATTCTGTACCAGAGTGCAAACTCCCCTACAGCAAATGGTAAAACCATTACAGGTTCTCAAAGGCTTCACCACTTTCAATGTTGCTGGGCATCCTTAGCATTGATTTTTACAGGCTAGACTGCTTATCAGAATGTAAGATTAAGGATTTAAAATTTTATATTTGAGTACTTAAGATTGAGCTTGAAATCTCACAGCCGTGGCCACAGCCGTAGCCGTGTTCTTGGAGATATTTGCAGCCGCCCCGGCCCACAGCCGTGGGGCTGCAGCCAGCCGCGGCTGCAGCCGGCCGGTGCAGACCTCTATTGGACACGGCCCAGAAAAAAGCGCAGACGCAGCGCAGAAGAAAGCGCGGACCCAGACGGGCCGGCCGCAGCGATGTCTCGGTTGGGCGACCCTCGAGTCGGCTCATTGCTTCGCTGCTTGCCGGTCGGACGGTCGGGAGAGCGGTCGGCTGGTCGGTCGCCGGTGCGTGGGGGACGGTCCGCTGGGGTGTACTGCTAGCTGAGATAGTCCGGGGTACTCGTGCGCACACGGAGACGGAGCCCATGCCACGGACGTGTACCGACTGCAGTAAACGTGGCGTAAATGTCGGACCGCGAGAGAAGAAACTGGTTCACCACACTTATAAACTCTCCGCAAAGCATTGGTTGCAAAGGAGTAATGTTTGGGCATACCTATATGGTTGTGTTGTGGAGTCGATCATCTCATAAGTAATGTATGCCAAATTTCTGTTTACTTCTGCAGAACCGCTAAAAGGTCACTTCAACAAACTTGCATTGATGAGACCATCAAAGGACCACATAGCCTCGACCCGTAAAGGCCTTCACGCCTCACCAGTCAAAGACGACGGGGCCTCGAAAACTTTACCAAACCTGATAGCTGAGCCATTGAGCCTCCTCATTTTCGGGAGCACGCCAAAACAAGCTATCCAAGTGACACCACCAACTTGGACGCTATTGCCGCCACCAGCTTCTTCCAATCAACGAGCCCCTATCCCACACAGCAGCGTCTCTAGCCTCTCCCATCTACAGACCATCTACCCTGCCCCAACGGTCAGTGGAAGCAAGGGTGTCGTTCTAATAAGATTCAGAACAGTCGTAGTTGCCGGGCGTAGGCAAGGCGGCATCACAAGACTCGGAGAGGACGCTAACTCACCCCTTCCCACTCCGGCGGGCGGGCCTCTCCCCGTCGTCTCAGAGAGGTCCGACGTCGTCGGTTCTATGATGGATCGGGCAGCTGACGGCGGCGTTTTTAGCTGCTTTACGGACGTCTTGTCGCTGTTTCCGCACATTGAACCCCTGATTGAAGCGCTTAAGACGGCATCAGTGAGCCGTCCACATACCGATGGACGGAGGAGGACCTCCCGGTCCGCCAGTTTGGATCAATACGGGTGTGCCGCCTATTTTAATCTGGAGCAGTATCCATTAGCCCCGCCGGGTGCGGTAGCGTGCCGCGAAGAGGGGCGTGCGAGGGTCCGCTGGGTCCAGTAAAACACGCAGGACAGTAGCCTTTGAAGTGGCGCGTGTTTGTCAGTTGTGCGTGTCGGCTGCACACGCACGCTGAGTCATAGTAGTGTGTGTTCGACTGTACCGTAAATACGTTGGGTAAATACGTTTTTACCGTAATACGTATTGGTTATAGATGCATCGTTTTGTTTACGAAGTAGCGTGCACGTTAGTGCCAAAACACCTGAGTTTACTACACCCCGTGGCATCATTTCTAACCCCACCTAGCGTTCCACCCAGCCCCACCCACCCAACCGATCGACGCACCGACTCGTCCGCCCGCCAGCCGGGTGGGTCACCGGTCGGTAGTCGGCCTCGTGTCAGCCGACCGGTGACCCGCCGAACGTCCTTGCCGCTGGGTGGTCGCCATCAGCCGCCCATACCCCGCGGCGGAGTTGGAGCGGCGCGGTGGCGTGTCAGCCGCCTGCCAGCGGTCGTCAGTGCGTCCTGAACCGCCCGGTACCACCCGGCAGTCAGTAGCCACCCATAACCCACCTCCAGCCGGGCGCGGCTCCACGTGGTACTCGATCAGGCTGCCGCCGCTCGACATCACGTAGAGGGCGTCCCAGTGGCGGCGCTCGCGGGAGCCGGCCGAGCCGCCGCCGCCGCCGCCCGCCGAGCCGGCCACCCAGCCGCGGGAAGGCGCGAACGTGCACACCACGCGCACGTGCGACGTGTCATCCGTGGGCACGTGGCGAGCGGTAGGAGAGTGGCGCGGAGACGGTCCTGTGGGGTCAAAGGCGAGGTCACGGACGAGTCACACCCCTTACAGGGGTGGCAGAGGTCACACGATGGCAGGGGTCAAATGTAGTTTAGCAAGGGGTGGAAGGTGGATACATATTATATGATACTTTAATGTAGTCTGCACACGACCCACATGCAGTGCAGCAAGCAGCAGGTGCCGGATCAGTACGAATAGCATACATAAGATTCTTTAAGCTCGTTACCATGTTTCAATGATGCGGCTAAGTGACTTGAAATGACGCTGAGCTGTTGACCTGGCGCTTAATGTCACAACGCTGCAGAATACTTCGGCGGTGAGGATTTATGGTGCTATTAGCGGCCTGGCTTTGTAAACATGAAACCACCTGCGATGGTAAATTCATGATGGCACGACGGCAATGTATGATGACAAACTAGAACCTTTTCTGGGTAACTTAAGTTATTCTAAACACTTCTGCAGCACCCTGGATGAAACCACAATAAATATTACAGGGAGACATTGCGACCAGATGCTCCAACTATCACATTTATATCGACCAGTACCGACCAATACCGACTAGTATAGTCAGCAACCCTGCACGCTCTCACCTGCTCTGGCGATGAGCTGGGTGAGACCTCCCCATTCTCACCTGAGCCAGCGCGGCGGTGAGCTGGGTGAGACCTCCCCATTCTCACCTGAGCCAGCGGTGAGCTGGGTGAGCAGCGGCTGTCTGAGCTGCGCCATGGGCGGCACCAGGACGGGCGCCGGTCCTCCGCCCGGCGATCCGCCCCCGGATGCCTCTCGGGTCCTCGGCGACAGCGGAGAGTTGCGGCCAGAGCTAGGAGAAGACGCAAGGAGAGTCAGATGGGCTGTGACCTGTTTTGGGGTCAGACGCCCAGTGGCCCGGTTATCGGTAAGAATCCTGGGCCGGGTCTTGTCGCGAAACATATTAGAGACTGGAGAGGTATAAGTGCGTTGGGCTGAAAGACGAGGAAGATGCCAATAATTTAACCGAACATCAACCGAACAGATAAAAGCTGATGGAATAATAGTCTTGGTTTTAGACGCACTTCAATTAGCCCCGTACAGGATGCATTTATGTTACATAATCCTGCCATTCCAATGGCTATTTATAATCAACTCAAACTTTAGAACCACACTGAATGCAAACTATGCTCTTATTACGAACTCTAAGCGTCATAATTGAAGTCTGACGTAGTTCGACCGCTGTCCGAGCCGCGCGTCCTGCGGTTCTGGGCCACCCCCTCTATCACGTGACGGACGGGACAGGGGGTGGGGGTGGCCGTCTATCAACCCCGGTAGGTATGTGCTCTATCACGTCATATGGGCTGGGATCACGTGAGACACGCCACACGCCCAGACCACGTGATATTCCTTTCCTATCCCCAGGGGAGACAGAGCGTCGGAAGCCGGGTGGAAAGGGGTCAGCACTAACGCGACAGTCGCCAGCATAGCCCCCGATAGTGAAAATTGGGTAGAGAACTAAGAACTTGCGGCGTCACCCTGGATTTAGCGACGCTACGACCAACGGCAGGCCAAGTCATTTGAACATCAAAGGTTTATGTAAGCGGGTTACGGGGCTGGAGTATTCGTTGGTATGAACATCTTTGGTATGTCACAGGCTAACAGCGATGTCACATAGGGCGTGGCTGTTCATAGTCGCGACATAATGCATAGCTGCATTCCAGAATAGTGCAAACAATGAGGCCACATTCCTAACAGCTCAAACACATAACACGGCGTCATCAGGACATTGCAGCGCTGGTCCCTGCAGCATAGCTCACTAGCAAAATGGGCGCCACCGTGTGCCTGACATTTCGTTTCGGGAACTGCGAAGAGGAGTTAATTTTCAGTATTCATTAGCATGAAAGGATAATTTCAGCATCCATTAGGATGGCATGATTAGGTGATTAAGTGCAAATTAAAATAGCATTTCATTTGGAACGAGAACACAAAGAAAGTGAATTATGCGCTCATCAGAGTACGTAAAATTAATTCTATGAAAGAATATGCAGCCAGATTGATACTGATTGCAATCCTACTCAGAGCATTCTGCGCAGCAACCTATTCAGTTACCTATTCCACACCATATACATTGCTACATCTTCCTTAATATAACTTCCGATGACCAAAATGACGAGGCGATAGCAGCCTTTCAAGCGGTTATTCATTTCAGTTTTAATAATAACGAACGAACACACTTAGGCTGTAAAATAGTTCTCAAACTGCAGGCATCACATCGCTTATATTTGGGGAAATATATAACTTAGATCACTTTCGCCAGTGGAGTACATCATTGGGGTCCAACTTTGAAAGTGATTAGTTAATTGTGATGGACTAGTTAGCGCTAATGACGACCCAGGTCGATTCGACAGTATTTTGGGAATGACACTGCACTGATCGGGTCTCATATGAGGGGAGAGATGGCTCATCGGTTTGGCTGATAAGGATGTTACATCTACTAGCGATGTAAGCTATCCATTGTCGCTTAGCTCACAGCTGTGCTTGATAAACCTGTTACAAAAGTATAAAAGCAAAATAGTGCAAACGTATCAAACCAGCGTTTCGGGCAGCGGCTAGCTGCTGCTATCCGGCACAAGACGTGGCGATAATGGCGCCATCTCTAAAAACTTCTAACTACAGAGGTCACGGCCGTAAGCATCGCACATCGAAGTCCTCATCCTAGATCAACGCACAAACTGCCGTCTGGATATCCAGAATTGGGCCCCAAAAGATCATCCGAAGACCTGAGGTAGACTAATCTGAGCTGACGCAGAACCTCCCTGGTCTCGTAAGCTTTGACCTGACATCTCTGTGCCTACCCTCCCCGCCCTCCCCGCTCCCCCGCTACCTACCCTCCCCGCTCCTCGCTCTCACCCATGACAGGTGGAGTCCTGCAGTCCGGCCGAGCGGTGGAAGCGGCTCAGTTTGTTCACCACCCGAGGCCCGCAGTGGGTCCGGGTACTGATGGCACCTCCATACGGGCAGATGGGGAACACGTGTGTGGTGCCGCGGTGGGTGGCCACAGACACCCAGCGGCTGTCCAGAGAGAAACTCAGGTCCAACACCTGAGGGGGAGGGGACAGGTAATAGCAAAAACAATCAGAAGGGTCGTAAATGGTACCGATCAAATCAGCTGTGTTGGAAGAGGACACATAAATTAACTAGACACCAACAATGCAAACACAGACATTTGATAGAGCATACTTGAATGTTAACACAATGAAATGAAACACAACCCAGCACATTTTGTGGTGTCTACGGCTTAGAATAAAATCTTAGATTTCCGCTCAATCCCTCTTAACAGATACAGTCAATATCAGCGGCATCTTTACCTCGGCCAAGGTGTCACCCAGGTACAGGGTGTACAGATGATGTACCGTCCGTGGTACAGGGTATACCGTCCTTGGTACGTACCTTGGCGGTGGTATCTCCCCTGTACAGGGTGTACAGGTGGTGTACAGTCGCCAGCGCCGGACGCTGGGAGTGCGGCTGTATCCGGAACACATGGAAACTGTTCCCCGGTTTGTCTGCGGTGAGTAGCAGTGTGCCTGATGCGTCAAAACACAGCTGAACCACTGCCGACAGATGCGCCTGCGGTGGAACGAGATAGAGAGAGCGGTCAGATCAGATGTGCCGAGGGATTGGTCAGTATCGTTTGAGCGGCCTTACCGACAGACGTGAGCTGTACAATGTGTGGTTGGGATAGCGCTGCCCTCACCCAGCGACAGTTGTAGTGGCTTGTAGATATGGATGAAAAAATTTAGGGCCACGACTAAATCAAAACACTGCAAAAAAAAAAAAAACAGCACAAAATTGCCCGCTTCAGCGCAGGGCTACACTCTCAGTCAGCGCCAACAGACTCTCAATTCCACTCCCTCGTGCACACGCGACTCCCCTCCGCGCCGTTCTCTGACCTGAAAGTGCGCCACCACGCCGTGCCCCGGCGGCGCGTTCGGACCGCCGCGGCCGGTGGCCAGTACATCCAGGACGGTCACCAGACCCGGCTGGGGCGCTCCATTGCTGCTGGCGGCGGCTCCGGCGGCCGGGGAGACGGGCGGGGCGTACCGGCCGCCGGCCAGGGTGGAGGCCAGGCCCTCACCGAGCTCACGGATACCTGTGGACGGGGGGGGGGGAGGGAGTGGTACAGAGGGCATGAGACAGGGTGGCGGATGACTAGACAGTGGTAATGAATGACAAATGGTTTCGATATGATTGAGAGCTTGCGTTGATGGCAAACGTCTTTAAAACTTTCACCTATTCTAATTCAGCTTCTACGTAATTAGCACAATTAGCGACCCAGCTTCTGACCAATCCTGGCTAGAAAAACCCTGACACGATGACGGTCCCTCCACTGATAGCACGTCAGTGTATACTAGCCATCGATTTTACGACACCCAACGAGCCAGGTAACGTCAAAGATAGCGGGATTTCACCAGCCAGTTGGGCAGCCAATGACGCGATTCCTCCAACAGGGGGATAAGATAACGACCCACCCCCACCCCGACCCGCCCACCAGAGGCCGGGAGGCACGGTGACAAACATCCACTGTCCCGACAGCCAGGGGAAGGGGTGACGCCCACCAGAGGGGAGGGTTGACGGCCGCCCGCGTGCCAATAGTGAGACCCTGACCCCGTGACCCTGACCAGGACAGGGAGGAGCGGATGGAGATACACCACCCTCACACGGGCCGCGGCAGCTGCCAGCTGCCGGTCGGGACGCCAGCTGGCACCGGGTGGCAACAACCAACCACAAAACACATAAAAAAGATCAAACAGCTTGGCGATAAAGACAAACGATAGCAGCTGGGCCATTCCAACTTTTAGGCTGAACTGAGTCATGTTTAAAGTAAAAGTAGGTATCATACACAAAGCTTGGTTAGATTACGAGTCACCAAACAGATAAAATGAAATAACACCCTTATTCGAAAAAATGGCGCGTAGGAAACCTCAGAGAAGCTCACTGCTGTGCTTATTTCATTATTCAATCTTTCCTCCACTCTTCGTCAATTCAGCTGATGACAAACAATAACCCACCAACTCCATACCCTATCGCGTTACGTCAGCGCGGCTGACACCCAGCCGTTACCCGGGTATAACTGACCTTTGCTGATGGATTTGGCGGCGTGCAGCATTGAAGCCGTGTAGCTGTGGGACGACTCGGCGTTCATACCGCCGCGACTCTGCAGGTAGCCCGTGAGGCGCTTCTCCCCGTACGCCAGCCATCTGAGCGTGGAGGAGAGGTCAGCAACTTTACTGGGAGATGGGGTATGGAAGGAACACATAATACCCTGAATGGAATGGTGTTGAGTCACCAGCTTCTCGTATTCTAGATTCATTTACTGTTCAAGCACCATTTTCATCCACAACTAGCTGCCAGGCACAGATAACCCCTCTCGTGATCCAACTCCTCCCAGACTCCAGACCCTTGACATCCGAGTCCTGATCCACTCATGATCCTCCCTCATCCCTTTGTCCCCTAACATGACATGACTCTGTCTCTAACCCCTTCCCTGACTGACCTGTGTCCCAGCGCCACCGGGTTGTCCAGCACTCCTGGCGCCGGGTAACAGGTGGTGACTGTGAACCGGTCCTCCAGCGTTCCGGCGTCAAACACCGCCAGCTTCCCGGGGAAGGTGACCACCATCACCCGGTGGGTGGCCAGCACCGCGCTGATCGCAGACTTGAACTTGACGCTCTTCACCTGGTGGGAGGGAGAGGGAGGGTGAAGGGGTGACCGAAACTAGGGAGAGAGTGAGGGGCGAATGGAAAGGCCCAGAAACGTCAGCGGGAGGGTGAATTGTGCAATGGATTAAAAGACTGTTTTTCTTTTCTCTGGAGCATGACAGGAAAGAAAACGAAGCTTGGAAATGTCAAACAAGCCGATGTATGGTACTTTATCAGTTGCCTACAGAAATTCCTTTTATTTTTCCTGTCAGACTCCGACGCTATCAGATTCCGATAGTGGACATCATTACTTCGGCCGCGTACACTCTGCATGGCTGGCTGGCATGGCTCACACAATGTCCTAGTTTATGATCACCGCATTCTCCTGCACTTCTTTCATACCCTGGTCCCATCCGCAACGCCTCCCTGGCTTGGCTCTTTCCGAGATCGCCTAATACCTCCCGCTAACCCTCACTGACCTGTTCACCGGTCCTCAGACTGATGAGTCCCACCGAGCAGAACTGGGTCTCACTGCCGGCGGCGTCACACACGGCCATCAGAGGCCGCTTCTGAACGTACAGGTCGTCCATACCGGTCTCGGGAGAGGGTAGGAGGCGGGCGTCACGCGCCACGCCCTGGCGCCAGGAGAGCACCTCGTGCGCCTCACCGTTACCCTGCAGCAGCCACACCTGTGGAGAGGGGAGCCGGCAGGGGAGGGTTACTGACGGTGACTGGTGATGACTGGACGAGTCAACAGTCACTGACTGACGGAAAGACGGCAATGCAGGTGGTTGTAAAGATGGTCAGACGAACGGACACTGAAAGACGGTCACTGACAAGCACGGAAGGTCATCCATAGACCGACGATCGACCAAAGGGTGATCGCTGATAGACAAACGGGAAGACCGCTATCGGTCAAGCCAGACGATCGGACAAATGGAATTAGGTGAGCAATGAGCATGACAGCCGTTGATTTTAACGGTCATAATAGACTGCATAACTCATCTACCCCGTGTCACATCCATCACGATTTACAGTCATTTCACTACTGCATAACCTGGGCGCTGTGTACCTGCCCGTACGACAGCGCCCACCAGTTATATCCCCGCCCTCGACTGTGGGGATATACTCCTCCCAGCTGTATCCCCGCCCATACCTGTACGCCAGTGGTGTATCCGATGACGAGTACCAGCGGCGCCACATTTCCGTTGGCCTCCATCTGCTCCGTGTAGCTGCAGATGTCATTGACGTCACAGTGCTCGAAGCGCGCCCATTGCACCGTCTCGCGGTGGTCGGCGCCCGACGACTGGTGAGAGTAGCTCGAGGGAACCACCTGAGAGGGGGAGAGAGAGGGCAAGTAGTGAGGTGATTGTACAAGTGTCTAATTACCATTATTTGCACTTATTTATTGTTAGAATACAGCCACAGATAGCATTCTAAATAGGATAAAAAATATAGTGGTGCTACCTGAATGCTGATTACATTGAGCCAAATCACCACAGCCAAGTCTCTATCTAACTCAAATTAATTGCTCACTCCGATCAATGACAATCACCGACCAGCACAACATCTCTGCATCCAGCCTCCTCACCAGGCCTTTCACGGTTCTCACCTCATTGATGATTCCAGTGACCGACTCCATGAAGGATTTCTCCGTGACCGTCTCGGGCCGGGCCGTTTGGCCGCAGGCGCGGCCCGGACGCCGCGCGTCCGCAGACATCGCTGACCCGCTGCTGGGGATAAATCAAGCAAAGGGTCAGGCAGCCTATGGGGAAACAATGTTCAGAAATTTAGTTTGTATGCTTTGGATGGATGAAATGATGAGCCAGAGACTGTGATAAGCAAAGCTTGTTGAGGAGGTCTAATTTTCATCCCCTGATAGGTAAATTCATTCTGGTTGTCATGGCAATCTAGAATCCAAAGTTTAGCATGCCAGCACAGCAGCTGGACATGGTACAATCTGTGAACCACTTACTGCCTGACTGTGGGGCGTGCACTGTCTTGCCCAACCAACCTCTACTGTCCCACCAACTGCAGAAATTGACATCTCAATCAGAAGTTTCTGATACTGGGTGACACTTTGTTCCCAGTACAGAAGGTGACAGTGGTGACTGGGTATGGGATGGGTACCTACTACATATCAATATGCAGCATCCCAATCCAGCCCACTGGCTGGACCTTCTAGCCCGCAACACCACTAATTCATATATTTTTGAGGTGTTGGCTTTTCAGCGTCACAGCTTCAAGTGTGTAAGTTTCTGACATTCTAACAACTGCCTGCAGTATCAATACAAGCTAACTCGCTTCTTACTGCCAGCACTTTTTATCAAAGTGTGCATACATTTCCTACTCCATCACAAGAGCATTACTTTTTGTTGTGATTGAGTAACTAGTGGATTCTACCATCATTTCTCATTGCTTTTTTATATGATTGCTGAGTGTGGTAAATGGTAACTGATCTTAACTTCTGGTCCATCTGGCTCACAGACTGGAGTGGACCCTAGATCCAGTCTCAACCCAAGAAATGAAGGTATTTATTTACTTTAGGACCGGCAGCCTTTACTTTCGTTGCGAGTCTCAGTCTATTGACAGAGAATATATCTTCTGTAGTTAGGAACTAGCATTGGTGGCATTTCCAAAAAAGGTAGGTAAAATTCAAAGCAAGCATTAAAACCAAAAAATGGTTCAAAATTAGGCATACCTACTGAATTCATACAACAAAATGGGTAAAAGTAGGACAAAGAGGACAAAGACAAAGAAACCTATTTCAATTTAGACATTCCACAAAGTTAATATTTGAGAGCTATGGGAAATGAGCAAGCTCAAAAAAAAGATTGCAAACAGCTAGGAATTAGCATATTTTCAAAATTATGCAGTCATCGAACGTTATAATAGTTGTTATCAAAGGGTTGAATGGAATGGCGCAGTTACTCTCCGCGATCAATTATGAAACATTGCTAGAACTAGTGGCTTTCCAAGTGATCATATGGAATGTTTTACTTACCAGACACTACCAATATGCGTAAGTCAAGAATACACAACCTTGAATCACTGGCTCGACGCCAAATTCAATGCAAAGAAATGAGAGTCCCCTCCCCGATGACGCGACCAGCTGCACAACAGCGACGTCCTTGAAAATCGCAAAAACAAAACAAAGGCCAGCCAGCTGACTGGGTGGCATCCATCAATAACCGATGATATTTTACAAATTTTCAATTTTATTTACAGAGAAATTTTGAGCGAAACAGCTTGAAATGCGAGAGAATCTTGAGTCCAATAAAAATGAAATGTCATTATTTCCGATTAGGCATTATGTAGGAAAACGTCGTTTTTTAGTGACGTTCAATCGGGACAGCGGCGGCGTAAGGGCCATGTGCAGTGGCGGATCCAGCCCGAGGTGTCAGGGGGAAGATATTTAAGAGATGGCCTTTCCGGACCCAAAACAGTGCAAGGGACGTGTGTTGCCCATAGCAGAGACCGTGAAACTGAGGGAAATGCAATGGCCTGGACCTGCGGTCGATATCGTACTTGCGAGTTGAGAGCCATCAGCCAGCAACCGAAAAGACCTGGATATCCACCGAGAGATCCGGGCTGCCTTCGACCAGCGACCAGCTAATCTTTTACATTATTCACTACGCCACTTTGCATCGCATCCACTGCCTACCGTCCGCGCCGTCGATCTGTTGGTGCGCCGGCCGGGACGTGGTGTGACGTCATCCGACCGGCTCGGCGCTGGGTAGTTCCACAGACACTTAGGTAACTCGCGGCCGGGACCACGGATGCTTCGATTGCCCGTGGCGACGGCCGCCGACGCGGTGCCCTCTACGGCCCGCGGTAAATGACCCGTCTGTCTACCGTCTGCTGTTAGTATCTGATGACCCAGTCCCACGACTGCCGAACGGCCGGCAGTCGGCTTATTTACTGCGAAACGGCACGACAAACTGATGAACTGGCGCCGCAGTAACGATGACCGTTCCACGAATCATCGCCCCACGTGTGGCCGTCACGTGCCGAATGTAAAGGGCAGACAATGAAATGGAGGCCTGACATGAGGCGTTCATAGAACGCCAACAAAGAACTCCAACCCGAACAGTGAAGATGTTCGAAAGGGGGAGAAGCGCCGAAGGAAGAAGCTCGCATACCGAAAGTGACAAAGTGTCCGATGACATAGATAGAACGGCTCCTGCGGTTGGAACGATACGGTTCATCGCATGGTATTGTCGTATCTGAGGCATATCCGTCATCGAAATGATAGTCGCAAGTGAACGTTTTTACAATAGCGGCGGAGGGCATCCTGGTGGGAAGGCACAGCCAAGTTGGTAGTTATACCATTCATACATCGGGGTCAGTGTGAAGACTGTGCCACAGCGAGCTCCCTGACGTTTACAGCTCGCATTGACCTGTGCACTTTGTTTGTGTCAAACACAGGCAGCGTCGTTGGGCTTTTCCACCACGTGGTGCAATAGACTGTGCAGTGTTGTCAAACAGGCGTTTGTCGCGTGTTGCTAGGGGCACCTCTGGGGTGCTACACACAGGTCAGGGCGGTTGAAGCAGGGTATATGGTTGAAGCGCGTACTAGCACGACGGTCCAAAATACGCCGAACCGCGGGCGAATATTACGGGAAATGTCTCGTATCCACGTTCTAACAATTTACAAAGTCCCGCAAAATGAAGTGAATGGGCCACTTAACTAGTGAACCCACAATCACATGCTAAACACAAATCAAAATACCGACACATACTCACGATTTTCGTCGCATTGTTGTTCCGTATTCGTGACGCAATTAGTTTTGAATCACCCACTCCTCACTCTCCACGGTACGAAGTACGAACCCATCACTCCCCCCTCCCCTTCCCACCCCCACTCCACACCACCCAGCGAACACAAAGACCACCGGTAGCCACCGACGCTCCCAGCGAACCGTCTCCGTCGCTCGCTGCCACTGCCCGCACACCGTGCCTGACACTAGTGGCCGCCGGGCGGGCGTCACTACCACCCCACGTGCCCCGCATCAGCTGGAACCCCTCCCCCGGCTCCCTGCTATACGGGGGGGGGGGGGCTGGACGGGGCGTGCCAACCGACTCCTTAGTGAGCGAGGAGGGGAGAGGGGATGGGGCGGGGAGGGGAAATTAACTGGAACGGACCTTGACCTTAAGGATCGCTCGCCAGAAGCTGTCCGCTCCAATCACCGAAGTTGATCAAAACTTCGTACAAACTTCCCGTGAACTGAAACACCATCGACCGTGCAGCCTCCACCTCGGAATTCGGAGTTCTGGCCCACCCTGGAGCCCCCTTTACCCCGCCCCTGCAGACGGATCAAACTGAGACTCGCCCGTTCCCATCGGACTCGTGGCTCCCCCCTCCCCCCCCCCACCTGCCCTCTCCACCTTCAAACCAGTTGTCGACTATTCCCGAACCCGTTCGACGAAGAAAGGACCAGCGCCGCAGCCCCGGAGCGCCTGAAATCGCCGCGAAGTACCGGCCGACGCCCGGACCCGCCGCTAAGCTGCCCTCCCGGCGACCGTGCCGGGGTATCGAGCGGCCACGTTCGTGATTCATCCCTGCCAGCACCGCACGCCAACAGGTCACGGGGTCGATCCGTGAGGGGCGGCAGGCTGAGGGGCGGCAAGCGATCCGTGAGTGGCGGCAGCAGGCTGACGTTCGTGAGGGGCGGCAGGCAGTCCGTGAGGGGAGGGCTGAGGTTCGTGAGGGGCGGCAGGCTGAGGTCCGTGAGGGGCGGATACCCGGGTCAGGATATCACGTGACGCCTCATACACGCACCCCTGTTCCGGGAAATCGTGCTGATTAAGATCGACAGCGTGAAATGGGGGACGGAAGTGGAAAATCCGGGATTGGAGATGGCATTAGATGACCGAAGCTAATTGGAATAATGACCGTGCCTATATAACATAAAGGCATTTACCAAAACTCAAACGCTTGGAATGACTTAAATAGGAGGATTGGATGACATTATTCAACTGCCAAAGACCGCTTTTTAGCGTTGGCTTGATCTCGGTCACTATTTTTCGAGCTACATAGTTCGGAAATAGTCCTAGTTGAAGGTGCCCTGTTCCAGATTGTCGTCTTACGATCGATAATTTGAGCTTGACGTCTCCCACCCTCTTTGTTTTTCATCTTCCAAACTGCACAGGTGAACCCACTTTAGAGAAACTTAAGTGCGTTATTTGTATTATCATCATCATATCAGCGCAAGACGGACGTGCGAAAAGAACGTTAATTGAACAGGACTGGTACGCTCCCGCCTCCGGCCGGGTCAGGGCGGGTCAGTCGAGGGGCGGCCGGCGGCGGGGGCGGCGAATCACACGGAACATGAGTGGACGCCCACGGCGGATAGGGTGGCCGGGAGACAGCTGCTCCACAGCTTATCAGTTGACCACGTTGATCTGAAACAAACGAGCAACGCATTAGTGACCGGCAATGAAGATTCTTTCGAGAAAGACTTCAAGGAGATGATTTAAAATTGCTTGCTGGAAATGGCCAGAGCCGTCGAAAAATTCCGGCCCGCTTAACTCTTAAAACTACACCGGCAAATCAACTACCGAGTCGACCTGGACCGTTAGCCAAGCGCGAGACCTACGCAAGTCGCAGCCGCAACCCCCTCCCAACTAGCACCCCAAAGGTCGCCGGTTCGAGACTCACCACGTCGTCGATTTTCAGTATGGAGCAGACGGTCTCTGCGGCGAGCGTGATGGCCGACACGGAGACCAGCAGCGGCTGCACCACGCTCTCCTCCAGGATGTTGGTGATCTGACCGCGGCGCACGTTGATGCCGGCGTTCTGCGGACGATCACAGGAGGAAGGGAGGGGAACGTCAAGGTAACGACTCGGTAAACGCGAGACTCGGGCCATGGTCGGCGGTGGCGGGCCAGAGGTGAAATACATCACAGCTACAACGACACGGAAAACATGTTTAATTCCCCTCAATCCTCAGAAAACACGACCTCTTGTCGCTTCGTCCAAAATCCTTCCCATGCTAGTCTGTCATACAGTCAACACTTCTTGCTACGACCGTCATCAGAGCTCGAAACACCCAGTCCCCTGTCGTGATCTCGAGCTCCGGGGACCCGGAGACCCTGCCCAATGCCCATCATTGCACGGGAACGCCATTCAAGCGGCTATTCCGAGGAAATGCTGGTGGTTCACGGCGGCTGACAGTGGCACGGCAGACTATTATAACCAGAAACATATGCACACTGCAAAGTCCGGTGGCCTAACTGTCCGCTATCCCGACCTGTTGACGACTACATAGCATAACCACAGGAGTAAACACGCGCAGCTGCCTTAAACGCTAGATCCAGCCATCCTCCACCAGGTCTCCAGCGCTGAGTAGAGCTGGATCCAGCGTGAATACGGACAACCCCAGTTTACACAAACAAACCACGAACTAACCAACCCGGTCACCTTGAGACAGAGACCCTCCTGGCCCAGCCACCTGGCCGACAGGCATGTCCAATCACCTGCTGTCCCCTCCCCTTCCCGGCTCACCCCACCAGCTGCCAACCGATGGCCACCGAGTGGTCTCAGACACCTGGCACGGTATGACCGACTGGCCAGCGGATGGTGACAGGTGTTGAACAAACGAGTGGTGTTTGCTAGTTCGATGACGAAAAACACGGGCGACCTAGTGTGATTAATGTTGTAAAATGCTCGGCGCGCATACATAATTTGAATTGAGATGCCGCCTGACGTCGGTACTGCAATAGGGCGATGTCCAACACCAGGCTACTAAGGCCTGGCTACACTATGCGTTTTCTGCGTGCGTTTTTGCAGGTTTGCGTGTTTTGCGTAATATCGTTCTAGGAAAAAAGTTATAAGCAATATAATTTTTACTTTGGTTATATACAAAAGCTAATATAACTCTTATGTAACTAAAATTTAAGGTGAAAAACATCACAAAAACGTAATATCGTTCTTTTTTCTAGAACGATATCACGCAAAACACGCAAACACGCAAAAAACGCACGAAGAAAACGCATAGTGTAGCCAGGCCTAAGATAATTTTCTTACAAAGTTGGGAGCAATCATGTTAGGCGATAAAAATAAGATCCCTTGCGCAGCTGATTCTGGCCGCAGTTGGAGGCACTAATTGGTGGGTCATGGTCACCATGTCCACAATGAGATGCATCGAGGCCGATCGTTCTGCCAATATTGTGTTCCAAATGACGTCATTAAAACGATTGATATGAGCCTCAAACCAGTCACGATGCCATTTCCAGAACACATTAACCGCAAATCAATAGCAGTCGGTTAAATATCAGCCTCAACATAATAGTGGAAGACCAATAAACAGACAATAAAACACAAAAGCATGTAACTCATCACTCAATCGCCTTTCACGCAGCTCTGACCTTCAATATCAGCCTTCATTCGCCATTTCTCGACGCCAAATCTTTGTTTGCCCTCTCCACACACTCGAAGTCCCACTACAGTATCCCTGGCATCCCAGAGTTTTTTTTTGTGTTTTTTTTTTACAATCTTCCACCAGCCGCATGTCCCTTCACGTCCCTACCTCCCCTGTCCCCACCATTCTCTCCCACTCTCCTGTCTTCCTCCCTCTCTCCCACTCTCACCTTCTCTCCCTTGGCGTGCCGGTTGCGCAGCTCTGTCACCGTCACGATCGGGTTGAGGCCGGCGTTCTCGGCCAGTGTGTACGGTATGATCTCCAGGGCGTCGGCGAACGCCCGGAAACAGTAGGCCTCGACTCCGGTCAGGGTGTGAGAGTGCTCGGAGAGCCGCAGGGTCATCTCCATCTCCGGGGCGCCGCCGCCGGCGATCAGAGCCCTGGAGGAGAGGGAAGGGGGTTAGCGGGCGACGTCCCGCTCTGCTTGGGTCAGAAAGACAATCGTAAGACACACAGGCTGGATTCAACTCAAAACCTCTCTTTGTCGAAACACATTTTACCACTCAACAGAAGCTCAGGATGACTAAACTACCGCGAAAGTCACGGAAATCCACAGCGCTTGCATGTCTGATGAGACACCTTTGGAACAGAGGCACGACAACCCGACGTTTCGACCGGATTTTAATGCCAGATAATGGTACAAATCTCTACCTAATTGCAAAAGTGGCGGCCGCGCTATGACAATATAATGCGGTGCTCAATATTTGGTGTGAAAAGACGCTTATGTCAGACAATCAACTTCACGAAATGCTTTGTATAAAATGACATTGTAGCCGGTCACAAAGCGTGGCTAATATTAAAAATGCTTTCTTTGCCTTCCATCACACACAAGCATTGAATAGTTGTCATGCTTGTCAATATCCTCTTCACATTATCTTTATCACTTCTGTTATACCTGAACCCAACTTCAAGTGCCTTCTCGTGGTCAACTCAACCTTTCAGTGAACACACTCTTTCTCACCAACGTTGCACTCCGATCTCCATGCCCAACTTTTTTTAGACGATGCAGGCCTGTTATGTCGCCACCCTCATCTGACGATGCATTTTTTTCGCTACTCTCACAGATCTTTTTTTCTATTTACGAAACACATCAATAAACAGTTTTATTACGATACCCCCTCCACCACTGACCGTTTTTTGACGAGGCAGCGGATGACGCAGAGGGCGTCGTGCAGCGATCGGTCGGCCTCCTCCAGCACCAGCTTGTTGCTGCCGCGCAGCAGCACGTTCACCGTACGGCCGCGGTTCTGCACGCCCGTGATCTGTGAGGAGATGGGGGACGGTGAGAGACGCAGAGGGACGCGAAGGCGAGGTGTTCACAAGCCGGAGAGGTGACCGGACAGCTGGTATAGGTAAGCAGGAGGGCAGATTAAAGGACATTGATTAGTGCAGAGGAAGACAATAATTACATTGCCACTTGACAATTGCTATAAAAACACGTCCGCATAATGCTAGAGTAGAAACCACGCATGGCTTCATACAAATTCAATCTTCCAGTCAATAAACCTAGCAGGCAAGTGTTCTATGGAGGCAATATAGAGCCCCCATGTATGCATTGTATATACTATACTCGTACATCCGCCTATGCTATACCGGCCTCACCTTGACCATTTTGCTGCTGCCTGTCTGGATCTCCTCGGCCAGCTCGGCCGTGGCCAGCGTGTCGGCTGTGAAGTGGTCCAGAGACGCCGCCGGCCGCACGTTCAGGCTCTTACACACGTACTCTATGTCCTCCCGCTCAATGTCCTTGATGACCATGATCTTCATCTTGGCCAGGAAGTGGTGCGCCAGGTCACTCACTGCGTCCCTGTGGTTCAGAGGTCAGGTCAGATGGGGTTGTGATGAGGTCGCGTTTTTAAGAAGTTGATAAAGGAATTTGAGGGATTCCGGTATAAATTAAAGGTAGTGTGCCACCTTTGAAAGATTTCCCATTTTATTTTTCCTAGGATAAGAAGCTTCTGTTTTTACCTAATATCGCAAAAAAAATCAAAAATGGGCCTGGAATAGTGCCTTTTTCGCCTAAAAGTTTATCGGTTTTTAGATATGTATAACAACTGTAGTGGGCTCACCTGCAAACAGGCGTCGGGCAACAATCGCGAATGCGGCGCACTTGTGACAATAAGCAAAGGTCATTATAGTGTTACGACCATACGACGTACGGGAATGAGTTATCAGCTGTCTAATCGTAGACAACGCAATGTCGAGCCTTAAACTGTAAGCCCGTATTGGTATTGTTTCTTTTATTTGGCTGTCGAACATTATTTATGGTTTGAAATATGATTTTATGTAAAATAATTGATATGAAAAAGCCGTCTTATAAGTTATGACCCCATTTCACCACACGCAAGTGGCAGAAATGACAATGATCAGCTGACGCATTTTTCTTGGCCGAAGTCAGAGCGCGCGGCCCGACGCACCACGCGTATTTGGAAATTCCGACCTCGACGAGCATCAGAAGCCACCTAACAGGCGTGTTCGAAACCGCAGGAGATGATGATGAACGGGTTTATCGAAACTTGATTGGATGAGCATATCGGTAATAGCGATTTCAGTGTGTGCATTTATTGTTCATAGTGGTGTGAAATGTGGTTGGGGTACGACCGACAACCCGTCGGGGCGAATTTCGCACTGGGGTACTCAAAATTTGAAGAATTTAAGACGTTTCCATGAGTTTTGAAGGTATGGATAAGTTCTAAAAATCCGGTTCTCCTTATCTGGGCCATTAACTCCATACGGTCCAAGAAAGCTGGCACACTACCTTTAAAGCTATTTCGCACTCCGCGTCAGCTTATGACGTAATACATTGAGTAAAACGTGACTATCCCCGGAAGGGCAAAACCCGGACCGGAAATACATTTTGCCGGCGATTTAGTATTTTGAAATACATATTGTAATTACTTGCCAGTTGCCATATTCTAAAGCATAATTCACGCACGACTCGGAAACAACTGCAAGCTGAGGCAACATTTCATTAGCTCTGTTTAGACGATCTAATAACGGCTTAGCAACAATCGACGATCCGCAAAGCGAGACCGGTTTACGCGTGCACAACGCCCTTGTCAATCTCTAAGCACACATATCTGGGTATAAAAACAGCTCGGCTTCTGCCCGGCTACCGCTGTCACAAACCGGTTCTTTCCCGGGTGCGGGCGTTGCTACCGACCTGAGGATGGACTTTTGTACCAGCAGCACATTGCAGCCGGACTTTTTGATCTGTTTGACTATGTTGAGCAGGTACTGCCGCTCCTCCCGCAGTACCCGGTCCATTGCCGCGTAGTCGGATACCACCACCTGGTTGTCCATCTGAGAACAGGACAGAACATGTGATCATAAATGGAATATAGCGGTGGAGAGTGAAACTGAGCAGACACTCCCATGAGCTGATAAGAAGAACGAAGATAGCCATAAAGACTTACAGTCAAGTCGAAAAAAGAACTCATGATAAACATTGCTTATTCGTTGAATTTTCGTCGGATGAGTTGAAGCACAAACCAAGCCGGGCTTCACGGCACATAGATGAGCAGCCAAGACTTTAACGCACCAAAACCGGATGACGACCAAAATAACACCTCGCCCGGCGCTGCCCAACGCGTCCACAACCCAACCAGACTATCCTCATCCCACGTCGGACCCCGCGACTCACGTCAGTCTTGGGCGGCGAGATGCAGAACTGGATGAGGCCGATCTTGGGCTTGTCAACGCGCGTCGGGCCGCCGAAGCTGCTGCTCTTCTGGTCGAAGAGCACGCCGTCAATGAGCTCGGTGTCCTCAACCACGCCTCCCAGCTTCTTCATGATCTTGATGTCCTGTGGAATGGTGCATTGAAAACGACGGTGAACATGTCGATATTGTCTATTGATGTCCTGTGGAGTAATGCATTGAAAACGATGGTGAACATTGATGACCAGTCAATCGCTGAGTGCGGGCGAGCCACGCCCTCACCACCGCATTGGCTAATTACTCACGAGGCAGCCCAGCGAGCTAGCAGGAATGAACCTATTTGTGATACATTATTTTAAATCAAATATGTATATCAATCTCCCTCAGTCCCACGTTCATTCCTCACACTCCACAGTCCATACGTCACACCATCTCTACCCACCTTGAGGTCGACATTGGTATCCTTGGCCGGGTCGATGACCTTCAGCACGGCGTCCACCGATGTCGCCGCCAGGGTGCCGGCGTGCTGGTGGACCACCTTCGAGTTGAGCGATGTGGAGGCCGACTTGAGCAGGCTCTCGCGGTCCGAGAGGTCCACCGGGGTGGCCATGTCGGCCAGAATCTCGGAGCACTTTTCGCCGGCGCGCAGGAACGACTCGGAGATGGCCGTGGGGTGGATACCACGTGACAGCAGCTTGGCCGACGCGTCCAGCAGGGCGCCGGCCAGGATTACTACCGACGTGGTGCCGTCGCCGGCCTCGGCGTCCTGTGCCTTCGACAGCTCCACCAGCTGAGGGAAATAAAGGGCAGTCAGTGATGGACAAAGGTGCCAACAGGCACAAACGACAAGCAGCCATGTAGGTAAATGGAGCCTTGAACAGGTCTATCAGCTGAAGAGCTGAACTTAGGGCGAACACTGTGATGGAGAGGGACTTTTTGGGCACACCCACAGGGTGGCAGACTACCGTAAACCAGAGCAACTTTGTACCACTTTTTGGAGAACTCATGTACTTACTGTCTAGATAGCCAGTGTCGCTCCAATTCTTACCAGTTCCGCTCCTTACATCATCCTAGCAACTTCTGTTTTTTGCGCCAAAATCAAGGCTTTTATTATAAAAATTCTGCTGCTGTCAAGGTCACATAACAAAAGCAGGTCTGTTCACACATAGTTAGGGCACATATTGGGCTAAATTGCCTGCATGAAAAAATGTCCCAAATATTACGATGGATTTTTAAAAAATAAGCAAAGTATCTTTTCCATGGTGGACCAAAGTTGCACTGATGGACCAAAGTTGCTCTGGTTTACGGTACATAATTCTATTAATGAATAAAAGCACATTGAAAAACTGCACTAGCTGCAAGTCTGCTGCACTCAATAGTAGACCCATTATGTTTGACACAGAGGATGTCTGGTAGCCACTAATTAATCAACTGGCAAATAGACACAGACAATCAATGACAAATTTGGTAGTGATTTGCTTGCAGTCACGAGTAGGTGTAGTTTAGTCTTAGTTACCATTTTGGCTGCTGGGTGAGCCAGTTTCATTTGCTGCAGGATAGTGGCACCATCATTGGTGATTGTGACATCACCCTTGGGCTCCTGGATCTGAAAAAAAGATTTACATCATAAGGCATGGAAAAATGGAATACAAAATAGGTTCACATAGAGAGCAAGGCAAGAGCAAGAGACAGCTAGGCTAAGACTAATAAAATTGTTGGCATAAAAAACACACACAAGTGTTTGGTCAAAACACCACCATCCACCTTAGTAAAGAACAGTAGCAAAGGAATGCATCATAGTTTACACTAAAAACTTTTTATATACACTCTGCTAAAACAAGACCTGAAGAGCCAACACAGGTCTCACTTGTCACCATGAACATTACCATTTTGTCCATTCCTTTGGGTCCAAGGCTGGTTCTGACAGCATCAGCCACAGCTGGAAACAACACAGGGGAATTGATTCATTACTCGTTGTTGACCAGAGCATCACAAAAAGACAGCTTGACATGCCTGTGAGGTCACAATCAATCACTTCCACTATGATAACATATTAATCATCAAGGCAGCCAGGACTCAAGGAGTGAAAACAATATGATGAACCACTCTTTTGACAAAGTTGAGCAAGCTGCAGTAATATGGACCTTATTACTTGAAAAAAAAAGAACAAGAAATGAGTCTGAGAAATGAGAATGTTACCTGGGTGGAAGCGATAGGAGACAAGGAATATAAGATTTGTCAATGCAAATGCAGGTGCCCATGAAATATGAATCTCAGTCTCAAAAGGAGTCAAAGGATAAGATAAGTACCTATAGTTTTGGCAATCTCATAGCAGGCATCTCATATGCTGCCACCCATTTATTTTAAATCATTTCACTTCAGTTCCTGAGATATCTACATGAATTTTGCTGTAGGTTGCACATTGGTACGTTATAAGTTTGTAGCCTTGTAGGTTGTACCTCAGTTAGTAGGTAAGGTAAGGTCAGGTTAAATTATGTTTTGCTCTGTAAGACTATCTGGTTAGAGACTTATAAGCAAAATTTGTGTAAATATCTTAACAACTTGAGAGTCTTATCAGTTATCTCATGGAGTCTAGCGACTTTTCAAAGATGGGTGGTGGCATGTGACAGGCCTGCTATAAAAATACATAATAATATAACATAATATAAGATAAAGGAATATAATAGATCTAAGATATTATTATATATAAAAATATAAGTCATACTTCTTGGACTAACACACATCATATATAGATTCTGGACACAGGAAAACAGAAAGGAACAAAATTCATCCCTGAAAAGGCATGTGGATTTTATCTTCAGTTTGACTTGACCCCCGACTGGAAAAAATGCACGCTTTCGTCGAGAACTCGAGCGTAGTTGGGCGTTTGCGCCGAAAATTTTCGGCGTACTTCGGCGTAAATCGACGGCTTGCGCCGAAATTTTCGGCGTACTTCGGCGTAAATCGCGAAAAAACGTCCGGGGAGTGGCACCAACCCCCCTCGGCCGGCGAGGGTTAAATGTCTTCGGGAGTTTAACATCTTAAATATCACTTATCTTGTCTCGTATTCGTCTCAGGGTATTTAAGTCATGTTCAGTGAACCTGATTGCGACTCTCCCACGGCGGGAACAGTTCACCGATCCAGAGTGAGGTTATGGATTGTTGGATCCCCTAGTTCAGATAACGTATGCTATCGTGCGCGTATTGACCGTTGTGATTCCTGTATTTCCGGCGTGTGGTTTGTGAGCGGACTGGGACGCTGGCAATCGGTCCCGCGTGGCCTGGTATCTGCCCGATCCCATCGGCCGTGCTTGCACCACGCCTGTTGAAGGCCCCGTCAGGCGTCAGTCACCGGCTGGGCACTACTGCTGATCAGAGCCGGGCAACAAAATAAAGGTTACGTTATGGAACATGCCAGTGAGTTTGTGAGTCAGGAGATTTTGTGATAGCGAACCCTGGTGCTCGGTCCCGCATGGCCTGCTGATGTCTTTTGTCTGCCCGATCCCGTCGACCGTGCCAACAACCGTCTGTAGACAGTAGTCACTGGAAGACAGTCACACACACGCCAGCCCCCCCCCCCTCAATGAAAAGTGCGTGGCTACAGCCTGCAGCCATCAGTAAGCCTTGAAAATTTTCGGCGCATGAAGCATGGCTTGGTAAAATAATTTCGGCGCATAAACCCTTGCGCCGAAATTTCGGCGCATCACCTCCGCCGAGAACTTCAGCGTAGTGGAGGCATTTTTTCCAGTCGGGACTTGACCCACCAATAAGAAACCATGAAACAACAGCACAATAACAGTAAATGGTGAACAAACAGCACTCAGTGTTGCATGCAGTGCGGAAATACAGATAAATTAACTGATGCAGGTACCATAATTCATTTTTTATTTGCTTTCAAGAGTTTGTAGTTTCTATAATCAGTCTGCAACATTTAGTGTGATTAGACCCAGTTTGGAGCATTATTGAGGGTCGCACGAGCATACGTCCCTTTAGACCTGTAGTCAAGCAAAAGGGGGTTTAACATATATGGAAACTTCTAGCGATTCTCAGGCTAATTTAGAACTGACGCCTTGGTACCGAACAAGAAAGGACGTGACTACTAGTCAAGAGAACGACTACAGTGAAGTTGGATGCTTGGGTCACAAGGCTACGCATCCTTATCCAACAACACAGGCTAATTACCTTTTGCAGCAGTGATGCTGCTGGCCCTGATTTCTGCAGGTTTTGTCTTATCTTTGAAGGCGGAATGCTGGTTAGATGATCCCACTGCCCGAGCGGGAGCGGGTGCCTTGGCAGCAGCAGGCTGTGTCATGATTGAACTGTGTCACACCACTAACAAAGATGAGATCAAATAATTATAAACGAAATAGCCTAGAATGCACGTGCTCCGCCGCTTTGAATCCGAAAAGACACTCCCTTCTCAACAAAGCGTTCGCGTTGGTCACGAGGGAAAGCATTCGCTATTCCTTATATTATGACGTTATTACATATGAAACGGCAATGAACACTAAATTTCACGAATAGAAATGCAGTATTACATTATATGACGTCATATTTATTACATTTGAATTCCAAAGAAAATAGCCGGCTTTCGCTTTTTGTATTTGCTGCGCCATATATGTATTGAAAGGAATTTTAAGAATAGTCTAGAAGTGCAAAAGGTGCAAAATCTATTGACCCATCTTCGACCGCAAAATACATTATTCAACAAATATCCAGTAACCATACGAGTAACCATGCCAAAAACTCGTCACAGTGCACAAATGATTACACGGTACGAATATTTAAAACCTTTTTGATTACTATTTTTGAAATAATTTTATCTCTTTTCGGCCTATTGAAGTTATTTCATCTTTTGGCAGCAGCAGTTCTTCAAATTATTGCTGCCAAATGTACTCAGAGAATTATGGTTATGGCGCTAAAATAAGCTAGGGCGTAATTTGAATTGTAAATTGCATGGAAGTTCCTATCTTTTTGGATTTGTTATTTGAAGACATATAGGTTCTTGACCTCTATATCTATAGTCTTGAAAAAGGGATTATTATCGAGGCTGCTGTGGTATTTTGTCTCAAAATTCCTTTTTTTATTGGATACCTAGCTTGTAGTGGTAGTTTGTAGTTAGGGTATAAATGATTGTTTTTACTCCAACGAAGACAGAAAATTGTATTGGGAAGTTCTATCTTGGGTCGGTTGGTAGGTGATGTTGGGGCAGAGTCAACCAAAATTGTGTAGGGGTGGTGGTGTGAAGGCCTGCCGACATTGCTTTGAATGGGTCTGAAGAATAAGAATAAGTGTTATTGTTATGTAGGTAACTATCTATTGTCATTGACTAGGCTGTGTTGAAAGTATTTACAGGGTGTGTGCAATTTTTATGAATGTTAATGGGTGGCATGATTGTGAGCTTACAATGTTATGCCCTTTTAATGTGCAATCTTTTTTGTTCCAGGTGTGCCTGCTCATGAAAAAAAAGTATTCTGTGTACTGAAGGTATAAAACCAGATGGATAGCTCTGGCATTCAGAGTCCTCAATGTAGCAGCACTATGAAACCATCAAGTACAAAATGTGTGGGAGGAAGTTTGCTTCAGTTCTTTCAAAAGAAGGTTGAACTGCCTCAGTCACATACTGCAGAGACTGAAAGGAGTGAAAAGCCTGAAACCCTTGGAAATTCACCTTCAGAAGGACAAGAAAAGGTAAATGGCACTGTATCATCCAAAGAACAGGATGCTCACAAAAGAAAAGGGCATGCAGAGAGAAGAAGACACTCAAATGAAACCAGAGCTCAGAATTCAAGCAGTGCATCTGAAAAGACTGAATTGAAGAATATCAAAAGCAAAAAATCAATCAACAATGGTGCCAATGATGAACCCAGAAAGCCGAAGCCATCTGATCATGAAGAAGATTTGAAGGACAAGAGTGCATCTAGACTATCCTCACAAAACCCTTTCCAGATTCTTATGCAGTCTGGGAAAAAGAAAGGGGTGTGGGATAAACCAACTGCTAAAGCCAAAGAAGCAGAAGCCATGCTATCAGATGATGAGTGTGTTGAACTGTGTAAAGAAGAGAAGGATGAAAAAAGGACATTGCCTGGGAAAGGTGAAGCCAAACCAGAAAATGTGAAATATTTTTCCATCTTCTCACCAAAGGCTAGAAAAAATCAGGTTCAGACTGGTTTGGACAGTGATGCTAATTCAGACACTCCAGACAAAAGTGATAAAGTAGACAAAACTTCTAAAAAGTCTGGAGCTCAGAATTTGGCCAAAGAGAAGCAGAAGTCCTCAAAAAGTAGCCAAAGATCATCAATAGCTGGAAAAGAGTCATCCAAGAGAAAGAAGTCATCAGAAATATCTGAGGATAATACAAACAAGGTCAAGTCCAAGAAATCTAGAGGTTCAAAGACATCTGTGGAGCACAGTGAAAGATCATCTGAAATTGCTCGCAAGAGAAAAGGGATTGAATCAGAATCTGTTACAAAGGTGACACCACACTCAACACCCAAAAAGTCGCGCCTAAAAGTTGCTAGCGACAGTGATTTTGAACCTGAGGATGTGAACAGTGGCAAGCGCAAGGGGCGGACGCCGTCCAAATCCCAGAGCGGTAGCAGCAAGCGCCCCCGTACTGACTCCGCAGCACGCACTGATGCGAAGTCTCCCACCAAACCAGCGACTCTGTCCGCCGCCCAGAAACTCGTCAAAAAATCGCGGGAACAGGCGAAACGGAGATCTGGCGACGCGTCCTCACGGCGCCAGTCAGCTTCCTCCACCAAAGCCGGAGCGAAGCAGACCCTGCTGACGGTAGGACGAAAGCCGGACGAGGCGTCTTCCGCTGTCTCCGCCACGGCCAGTCCTCGGCGCCAGTCGAGTCGGGCAGAGAAGAAGAAGAGCCGAGCAGCTCCGAGCGACAGTGAAATCGAGTTCACCCCGGGACGGAAGTCGAGCAGTCGACGGAGTGACGCGAACGCAGACACCACGCCCCGGCATACCTCCGGACGGAAACGGTCACGGACCGGGCGGAACCGACCGACAGAGACCAGCGGGAGCGAACTGGAAGCCACGCCTGTAAAGAAACCAACCAAGCGAACATCTACAGGCACTCGGCGCCGACTCAGTAGCACGGATATCGAAGTGCTACCGACAGCTGCCGAGGCCGACGGACCGCGACGCTCTCCGGAGAGGCGGCGCCCGTCCCGACCCCGGAGACCAGTGGTGCTCAGTGACAGTGAGGTGGAGTCGTCACCGGCCAAGCGGCCCGCGCGCCGGTCCCGTGCCGCGCCTCCCTCGACCGCCGCTGACGGCGAGTCGCCGGCTCCGCGCCGCTCCTCCCGTCCGTCCCGACCGGTGCGCCGGCTGAGCGACAGTGAGGTCGAGGTCAGTCCCATGAAGAAGCCTGCGCGTGGAAAACGATCCGCTGCGACGGATGACCCGGAGGTCGTTCTGGTGCGGTCTCGCTCGGCGGGTCAGCCGTCAGCCGGCGCGCGGCCCGCTCGCGGCGGTGTGGACGCGTTCCAGATGCTCCGCCGCGGCGGTCGGCCTCCCAAGGAGACGGCTGCAGAGAAGGCTGCCAACGAGGCTCGGCGTGCCTTCCTGGCCAGTGGAGTTCCAGAGCGACTGCAGGTGCAGGCGGAGGTGGCCAAGTGAGTGTGACAGGGTCACGGGTCAGTATTTCTGCCGTTCTGTCGCGTGCGCACGCTGCTTGATATTTCACCCTCGGCTATTTTTTTTTTGTGGGTGGGTTACCGAGTAAGTAAAGGATGTGATACATTATCGATCGTTAAAGACTAAAGTCATTCTCATGTAAATGCAGTATTTACAGGCGGCAGCTGTATGGCAAGCACCCTAAAACTTTTGATCAAATGCTCACCTCTTGCCGTTCTTAAATGCGTGCTCTGTTTAATTGCCCTCTCACCTGACTGACTTGTTTGTGCCCTCAGGCGTTTGGAGGAGTCGCTGACGCCTATGTTCCCGGAGGTGAGCCACGTTCTCCAGCGCGTTGACGATCAGCCGGCCGCTCCGTCTGCCAGCCCTCCCCCGCTGCCGCCCGGTCTGAGCTGGGTGACCGAGCCGCCGCCGCCGCCACCGCTGGCTGCGAGCCTGACGACTCCAGTTGGAGGTCTGGTGCCGGGTCTGGCGGCTCTGCTCGGCAGGAAACCTGAGGTGGCGGCCGATGTAGGTGCCGGTGGGGACGCCAGCGGCGAGACGGCATCTATTGCTGATCCTAGCACTGAGGACGTGACGAAGACGGCAGCAGCCGAAGCCGTCGACCCAGGCGAGCCAGCCGACTCCAGTTCCCCGCCGGCCTGCCTGCCCCGCCTCTCCCAGCCCGAGTGTGCCGCCTCGCTCCGCCAGCTCCTGGACGCACTCAGCGAATCCTCTACCCCCGTCCCCTCTGGTACTACCTCCTCATCAACCACCTCCAGCGGCGCTGCCTCCACCACCCCCTCTGCAGGCCCGTCTCTCTGGACGGACAGATTCCGCCCGCGTCACCACGACGCGTTCGCCGGCGCCTGTCTGCCGGCCGGTGAGCTGCACGAGTGGCTGGCCGAGTGGCGCGCCCCCTCGTCAGGAGTAGACTGGGAGGATGACGGCAGCGAGGAGCCTGCCTCGGACGGCACCGTGCTGCTGCTCGGACCGACCGGCTGCGGCAAAACCAGCGCAGTGTACGCCGCAGCGGCGCAGCTCGGCTTTCAGGTGAGCACGCTGAATGGGAGTGGTGGGTTTGGGGCGTGGGTTGATTGGTGGAGCGTTTTCTCTATTTTACCATTATTTTTGTTTTTCGTTTTGCCTAGTTAGCCTAGTCTTATTTTTGGGGTTGACATCGTTATCGACGCCGTAGATTTTTTGTTACGGGTCACGAATACGTTCTTGTGTCAGTTATTTCACGTCATGTATTTAGGCTTGTGCAAATGATCATTCCAAACTGACCAGATTTCGTCCCTTCTGTTTTACCGGTGTGCCATGGTGTCAACATATTTTCTGACCTCGCCTTCATCACGCTCGGTGTCCGCCGTCTTTCAGGTGCTGGAGGTTAGTGCGTCGAACCGCCGCTCGGGGCGCCACCTGTCCTCCCAGCTGTCGGAGGCCACTCAGTCCCAGCGAGTCAGCCTGCTGGGCGGCGGCGGCGGCGGTACAACCGCCGACCCGCCCAGCCGCAGTCTGCTACTGCTCGAGGACGTCCAACTGGTCTCTGAGGAGCTGGACGATGGTTTCCTGGCGGCCGCCGCCAGCCTGGCCGCCGCTGCCAAACGACCAGTGGTGCTCACCAGTGACGACCCAGCGGTGACCCGCACCCGTCTGCTGCGCGCGCTGCCGCACCGGCTTCTGACGGCCACCGCGCCGGCCGCCGCCGAGCTCCGCGTTCGTCTGGTCCTGGTGGCTCTCAGTCAGGGCTGGCTGCTGCCGGAGCGGGTCGCCGCGCGGCTGGCCGGGACCGGGGACGCGCGCCGCGCCCTCCTGCAGCTGCAGTGGCTCTGTGAGGGCCAGCCGGACGGCGCAGAGACGGTGGACACGTGGCAGGCGCTGACGGAGGCGCAGCTGGAGCCGATGGAGGAGTTTGTAGACCGCTTGCCGCCGACGCTGAAGGTGGTGCGGCTGACTGACAGCGAGTCAGAGCCGGAGGATACGGCGGCGGGGCTGCCGACGGTACCGGCCGGTCGCCGGCAGAGCGGCTGGACCATGCCGACACCAGAGGTCGCCGCCGGGTATGACGGCCAGACTCGGCGCCGCTGGCGGTGCGTCGACCCGGACCTGTTCTCAGATGAGGACGAGGCACGACCGCCGGCTCCTAGCCCTGCCCCGGCCCCGGCGGCGGAGGCTACCCCGGCGCAGAGCGAGGAGGAGACTCCACCGGAGGACCGCGCGCTGCTGGCGGAGTCTGTGGCGGCTCTGAGTGACCTCTATGACGTCCGCTCCGAGTGTGACGCTCTGGTGGCCCCGACTGACCGGCTGGGCTCCGGCTCCTGGTGGCGGCGGCGGCCCCAGGCAGACATGGCCGAGTCAGAGCAGCCCCGCTGTGTGACAGAGGAGCGGTGTGACCAGCTCGGGCAGCAGCTGGCAGCCGAGGCGCTCGGTGCGGCCGGCCGCCGCTGCGCCGACCGACTGCGGACCGCGAGGGATCGGTTCGCGTCCAGCGGTCGACCCGAGCCGGAGGGTCTGCGTCTGCCCCTGTATGAGGAGGAGGAGGTCCGGCAGATAGCCTGGGAGCACCACTCGCGCCTGGCGCCGGCCGTCCCCAGTCTGCTGCTGAGCCGGCGAGCCGCCGCCGCGGACCTGCTGCCATCTATCCGCCGGATCTGCAGGCTCGAGTGCCACCGCCGGGCGACAGATGGCGGGCGGACGAGGAGATTCCTGCACTACTTTGACCAGATGGGGCTCCACGCCGTCCCCAGCGGACTGAGAACGCATGTCTGCGAGAGCCTGATGTGATTATTAGTGTCGTGAGCTGGAATGTCTGCGATTGGTTAAGGTGATGTTTGACCGCTGCGCAAACCTCAGTCCTCTGGACGCATGCATGCGGGATTGGGAGCGGATGGCCGTGAATGTATTGGTACTGCTGAACGCATGTGATCTTTTGACGCTCGTAGTGGAATGATTTGGGTAGAGATGTTTGCACGTTGCTTGGTGGATGTGTTAGGCCAATTTTATACCGCGAAGGCAATCCCTGAATGGTATGTCTCGTTCGTGGTAAGAGGGACCAGATGCGTGCCTTCCAGTTCATATTTGTGTACAAAGGGCTAAGGGCATTTCCGCTCAGTATGAGATTGTGAGCCTCCTGCCAAAATGCGTCCACAATAAACACTTTTTCCAGATGCATTGTGCTGTCTAAACCGGTGCATTTCGTTGCCCGATTCTTACTCTGAACGTCAGCTATTCCTTACACTCACGAACAACACATTATTTAGATATCGTTTTATTCATACACATTCACTACACATACCTAGTTATCGTGCGAAGAAGGAACTAGGAAGATATCCATTAACCTGTATGCCCTCTCAGAGGACAGATTTGCCCCGTTCAGCCCAGGCGCAGCCCCTTTCGCTGACATGCGACCACGCTGATGTACAGCAGATGTCAATGAAATACCAGTAAAACGCCTTTTGGGCGAAGAACGAGCGAGCGAGATAGTGAGCCCTGCACGTGCGGAAGGGCGAGAGGGTGCTTCCAACGGGCTTGCGCAAAGCACCTTTCTAACTGGTCACTAGCGGTGTGCCAAATTTGAACGCAATCGGCCCAGCCGTTCCTGAGATCTGGAAGCGGCATTCTGCACGTGCGCACGTGCAAACGGGGTCCAAAATGACTTTTGCACGGCACCCTACTAACTGGTCCCCAACCGTGTACCAAATTTGAGCGCAATCGGCCCAGCCGTTCTTGAGATCTGGAAACGCCCCTTGCACGTGCGCACGTGCAGTAGCACCCTAACCGCAACACATGGGAATGCATTGCCTGGTGGGTGCCTACCTGTATGCCAAGTTTCAGCGAAATCGCCCCAGTAATTACCGAGTTACTGAAATGGGAACAAATTTGGCACCTCTTATTGTTGTATTTTGCACGTGCACTGGGGGTGACCCACATGCATCGAGAGTATCCTATTTTGGGTAAAAGGGATGCTGCTACCCTACAAAAATTACCGCAAGTCAATCGCCCAAGCGGTTGCTGAGATATGAGCCTCTCAAAATCACTACTTTTGCAAAACAGCTTGAACACCCTTGACTTTTCACGTGGCACGTGCCACAACGGTCACTGAGATGTATCAAAAGTAGTCAATTACGGGGTAGAAGGGATGGGGCTACCCAGCAAAAAAGACCGCAGGCCAATCGGTCCAGCGGTTGCTGAGATATAAGCCTCTCAAAAGCGTTACAGGCCGGGCCGGGCCGGGCCGGGCCGGGCCGGGCCGGGCCGCTCATACTGAGATTTTTCCGTTATATTGAAAAGACTCACTTCGCTCGCTGCGCTCGCTCGCTCGTAATGATCATGGGGCGGTGTGTAGACAGTCCGCCGATAGGGTTGTCAACACGTACAGTTAAAATACAGATACATCTGTAGACAGACTGACCATTCCCTGAGACAGTAATGTTCGCACAATCATACAATAGTTACCCATTGCTCTTGCGAGCGACATTGAATAGCAGCGTATCGGACTACATTTTTTCTGCTTATGACGGCAGAGAAATGTAAATCGTCACCCGGCAGTCTGCACAAACAGACTGGTCCTTCTCATTCCGTATCTCCATCACTCGCTCCGGACATAAAACCCACGGAACCTCCATCATGCGCTCCTTCCAACACTCAGCACAACCAACAACAAACATGACTATCGGGTTCACGACTGGCCTCCTCTAGCTCACGCCACCACCCCTCGGCGACCTATGTAGTCCCGCGGTTCGGCGGACTTAACCCCTCAGTTCCACCCTCAGTCGCCCCGGGTCTGAGCCATGTCCAGCTCCAGTCTCGGCCGCTCCTGACTCCTGTGACACTCTGTGACCGTCTCGGCCGCCGCCAGTACCGGCTGGAAGGCGGACCGCACCGAGTGCAGTACGGTCGGGGACGGCGTGGAGGGCGGCACGGCCGGGGCGCCCGACACCACTGGCAGGGCGGTGCGAGTGCGCGCCTCGTGGTCACGTCGTTCTCGAGCGCGCCGGTTCTGGAACCAGATCTTCACCTGAGGGGGGAAAGGGGAGCGAGTACTGTCAGTAGGTGAAGTGTCAGAATATATCGGTGAGATAGCAAAGCTAAAAACTAGATAAGATAAATATGCATCTGGGTAGGGGACAAAGAACTTTGGAAAGTTGAAGACGCGATAAACGCGTTTTGTTGATTGAAACAACACAGTACAAGAGAATGACAGCATCCCTGTTACTTTCATCCACAATCTGGCTCATTATCCAGCACATATTTATACGCCCTATAACGAGTGAGCAGGTGACAAGAATTTTGATAGGGCCCGGCAAGCCCCATCGCGGAACCATTCTTCCGTGATGGCTCTTTTCAAAGGACCAACAAAAGCGAAACAGCGCGGGCCAGCCGGCCGAAAATTGGTCGGCTCGCCCGTCTAATGCGGCGGCCCTCGCCAATGGAGTCCTCGGTTCCACTCAAGTTTACGTTTCAACTACTAGCCGTCTCGGCGCCGGCCGGTTTGAAACACGTCCTCCAATGCCCGTCCACCGTGTCATCACCGTCCAACAATCTGCTACAGATCGGAGCCGGCTGCTCTCGGCGCCGCACGGCCCGGTGTGACCACTCCTCCCCTCTCTCCCTCCTCAGTGTGTCACATTGTTGTCGCCGAGTGGCAGCCGGCGGTGGGCCCGCTCCGGGACCGCCACGGGCCGCTCATCCCTCTGTCCACGCCTAATCAACCGTCCAACCCATAAATAAACCGGCATTGACACGCCGGCCGCGTCGGCCGATGGCGCCCACAGTGCGCTAATGTACTATAAACAAGACGATAATCCCCCTATAAAATAACCCGGGCCTATCTTTCCACAGAGCGGGCGGGCGCAGGGCGACACTGAGGGGTCCGGACAGGACGGGCGGAGCCGCCGCGGCCAAGAGGCGCCCCTACGGAGCGCGACGCTAGACGGTGCTGTCACTGACTGGATCGGCAATCGTGTTGTGTCGGCCAGTCAACTCCATTTTCTGTCGTGCGCCCTCCTCGGTCCTCTTCTCGTCACTCTGATGGGAACGCTACCATACACGTTTCTTTCCAAACACTTCGTGTTCAACATAGTCTTCAGCCAAGTCTGTCCAGATACGGCTTCATGTCCAATATCCGGTAGCTGCCTAACCCAGGCTGCTCGGCTGATCCAGTGTCACATTCCAGCTGCCCTATCTCTCCCAGCACATCTCCTAATCCTTCCAACCCAGTCTCCCTGAGACACGACGCCTGACCAATCAGCCCCCTCTTCTCTCCAGCCTCGGAGAACACCAGTAATGTTTCTCGTCCCCCTGTACCGCCGCCACCGCCGTACCATCGTGCCACGCGCTCACCAAGACAAACCCAGGGCTTACTGAGGCGCAGCTCTGAGCTCGCACCTGGCTGCCGAGTGCCGCTGCTGGCACGGTTCTTTGCCAGTCCAGGCGCCGTAATGGGTCTGTTCCAGTGATAACCATCATAGTCGGGAGCGCCGCTAATAGGTGGTCTAAGGAAGCACCCCTCATACATTCCACCCCGGCTCCGCGGAATGTGCGACCCCGAATAGCGGAGGACAGGGGAAGCCAGGGGACCGATATCCGATACAATATGGCGATAGGCTATGCGTGTATTATAATGAGATAAGCAATCGCAATTTGTTATTAAAAACGAATATGATCGGCTCACAGCTGGATACTCTATCGACATGCTCCATGCAGTTTTTTTTTAACAAAACAAAAAAAAAAGATAAAAGGACATTGGTGATCACTCGGGTCTGTGAAAACTATCCCGGTAAATAGGCACTCACCCGGGTCTGAGAGAGGCAGAGCAGGCTGGCCAGCTCCGTCACGTCGTAGCTGCTCAGATACTGTTTGTGTCGGAACTTGTGCTCCAGCAGCGCGATCTGGTGTGACGAGAACGGGATGCGCGGGTTCCGGCCCAGCCGCCGCTTCTGCACGCCTTCCTTCTTTGGTCCTGTGACACACGGCTCACCGTTAGAAGTCAGCCACACAGAGCTGTCACAGAGCTGACACTCCTTCTTAGGTCCTGTGACACACGGCTCACTGTTAGTAGTCAGTCTTCCTCATTTGATGTCAACGAGGGAAAGGCTTGGATAACACTAACAAGTGCGCGCCATGGATCAAATTTAATCACACCACATCCGTTCAGGGGATCTCTAAATTTTGGTACGTTTTACATTGCTGATGGGCCCATGTGCAGCAGTAATTTATCTCGCGAGAACAGAGCTGAAATAGCTCAGCTCTCAGCCCGGGCTGCATTCCGTGCGGTATACGCCCTGACCGGCGCGGCGCGCAGAGTGCGTGTGGCCACAGTACCACGCCGGTATGCAGATGACTCGCGCCGCTCGGGCGACATAGACGATGAAATGTACCGATAGCGGCGGCCAGCTTTTGTAGCGCGCCTCCCGCCCAGATAATCATAATTCACTAACCACGGGCCGGCCGGCGCGCGCGCGACCGACAACTGTCTCAAATTGAGCTTTTGCCCGGCGGCCGAGATGCACGCAACCATCCAGAAAAATGCCGAAAAATTCAGGCCTCTATCGTCAACAGTGTGGGTCTGATGGGATCGGCGCGCCGCCCTAAGCCGATTATAATGGGCGCGGACGTGTGCTTTCACAGCGAATGGCACGCTTCCCTCATCTCCTTTCAGTGTGCTGGCATCGGTATGCTGAGGAGACGGGACACACTGCGCCTTGGACAGTGTTTAGTAATGTGAAGAAAGAACGTCTCAATTAGCATTGTGTCTCTTATACACGCAGTCAACGTTTGTTCTAAGGATGTTTGTCAACCGATGCACTTGAACTGGAAACAAGGCAAGGCACTTTGATAGCATGGAATGAAAAAAACGCCCCAATATAAAAACCTATAGTCTGGCAAACTTAAGAAAGAACGGAATTGAAGCGCCTGAATCACCTAGCACGTGTTTTGATCACTTGAAATGCATGATTCGGAGAAATTTGTTTATCCCGCACCGTAGACAGTGTTTACAATTGCTTCACGTGCAAAGAGAGAAACTGTTAAACGTCTCGTAGGCAGTTTGTCTAGTCTGAAATATTAGTCTGAAATATGTCGTATTTTTCATAAAAACTGTATTTTTACCTTTAAGCGCCCGAAAGATATCGGCGGTAGGGGATAAAATTATTAAACCGCTCGTAGGTAGAAAATCTTTTAAACGTCTCGCCTATCGGCTCGACGTTTAACAAATTTGTTCTACCTACTCGCGGTTTAATATATATTAATACATACTTTACGGTGCGTTCACTGGAGATTAACCGTGCGTTAATTCGAAGGTAGCCGTGCACCAATTTAAATTGGTGCACGCGCGTGCAGTGATGACTTTCTCAGCTGAAGTTTTTCGGAAGGGTCATTGACTTTATTCTAAGAATTCCCGTAAAAGGCCCTTTTAGTGTCATGGACTAAGTTTAATTTTAATTCAAATTCGCACCGTTAAGCATGTATTAATTAGTTTAACACATGGTTTCCGTGCATAAATGGTTTTAACGCACTCGTGGATGGAATGGAGCACTTGTGCGTTAATGCACTCGTTTCACTCGTGCATTAACACACTCGTGCTCCAATCCATCCACGTCGTGCGTTAAAACCATTTACACACGGGAAACCATGCGTTAATATATATTATCCCGCACCGTAGACAGTGTTTACAATTGCTTCACGTTCAAAGAGAGAAAATTATCAGATGTCGTTTAACTGATTTGTTAAGCGTCTAAATGATTAACAAACTGTTAAACGTCTAGTAGACATTTCGTCTAGTCTGAATTATGTCGTATTTTTTATATAAGATGTATTTTTTACCTTAGAGCGCCCGAAACATATCGGCGGTACGGGATAAAATCATTAAACCGCTCGTAGGTAGAAAAATCTTTTAAACGTCTCGCCTATCGGCTCGACGTTCAAAATATTTGTTCTACCTACTCGCGGTTTAATACATATGTAGCAAAAGTTGTGACAGAAAATATGCTCTCACAGTATAAATGCGCGTGCATCAACGGCCGCAGCACTTAAAATCCGTTTTTTCTTGGGTTTGCCAGACTATAATGAGTATACTTGTTATTTGACGTTGGGAGTATATAAATCTCGCCCGGGGCTGAGAAAATGCATTTTATTCACCGAGGTTTTGTGCGGAGAACGGAGAGCCGGTAGACACTAGGTCTGTCGCAAAAACCCTAAGTGAATAAAGCAACATTTTCACAGCCAAGGTTGGGAAGAGCCAGCCAAACCACATGCTGTACCGGCGCAACAGTAAATATTATATTTGTGCTTTTCATTGTTGGGTTGCATCAAGTATGAAAGATGAAATGCCCTTCTTAACCCTAATTAGGGTTTGAAAAAATTTGAGGATGAAGAGGGTGAAAGGCCAGAAGTTAAAAACAAAGAAGTGTATAGAGTCCAGCAGGAGTGAGGAAACCGTGAGGAAAACTGAACATTGGGCGGAACGCCTAATCAAACGCGTCTTGGATCCCAGCTGAACCGATATCAAATGTTCATTGTTGCGCCTTTGATGCTTTGCGCATTTAAATTGTGACAATGCCGAAAACGTACATTCCGAAGACGACGAAGTCGAAATATATCAATAACTTTTTTGGCCTCATTTTAATATTATTTCACTACCGTAACATGAGCATAAGGTAACTCTATCACCATAGCATTCATTACCTATAATGCTCAAACAAGCCTCAGCTCGCCTCAGCTCTCAAACAAGAAGACTTCAAGAATTTAATCGCGTTCAAATTAGAGCGGGAGAGAGGTGACACGACGGCTACAAATACCAAACTCGAAAAAAACATCTATAGCAAATCACGCGTTACAAGGCGTTATATGACACACTTGGATGTGACTCAGCGCAATCAGGAGAAACTTGGTCATTACTTTTTTTTCGCTCATGCGATTGACATTATGCATTACCATCACCAATATAAACGAAGGAATGCCTCATTAATTGTATTCTTGTAGATTTCTACACTTGTTACATTCTGAGGAAGGCCTGTTGGTCGAAATATCACCCATATAACGTTTTGGCTATTACATATTAAAGTCAGTCACCGTGGGATATTCCAGCCCCGACGGTAAAAGCTACAGTCTTGCTAAGCCCTCATTAATTGTTGGCGATTGGCGTTGTGATGTGACAAAATGCAATGGTCGTCTGACAACATAAATTTAAAATCGAGTATCATCATAAGGAGCAATCGAAACTGGAGAACATTTACAAGCTCCGAACGCCGCCGAAATTGTAGCTCAGCTGCATATTGGACGATCAACAAAGGATGTGAGGGGAAGAAGGCGGGTCTTGAAATGTGGAATACCTAGAACCATAGGCGGCGGAACGGGGAGGGCACCGGGGCACCGTGCCCCCCTTTGATTTTGGCATTTTAACATTAGCCCTATGGGCGTTGCATGGAAAGAATGGGACCAAAAGTCGGCAGTGCCAGTGCCCCCTTTAATTGAAGGTGTTCCGCCGCTACTGCCTAGAACCAGTAATTAGCTGTAGGGACGGCAAATGTGAATTCAGGCAACATTCCAGGGACCTCACCCAAATCATCTGGAAATTCCTTTTGGGCAAGAACTGGTCTTGCAACACGGAGAATCGACCCTAATTCAAACAGACCGCTGACCCATAAGTGTTAAAGACGAAACAGCAAGCTGTATCAATCGTTTGAAGTTCCTCAAAGACAGAGCAAGTACTTTGGAAGTCAGCTCCTCACCAACTCAAAGGAAAGCAACACCGTGTGAACACTGAACTATGTAGGGACCAGTTTGTTCTATTTCGGTTTGGAGCTACCCTGCTCAGCAAATCTTATTTTCTTATTGAATCCAATTTTATGTCAAGAAACTAAGAGTAGTACTTTTGTTTATATAATTTTGCTTTACTTGATTTCCGTCAACGGGTTCGCACTCGGAACCAGTGCGAACCAGGAGACGTTCCTTTTATCGTCTCGTATAGCAGGGGTTTCCAAGATTTTGTTTACTGGAATTAACTTTGTACCGACTCAAGAATACAAAGCGAACGCGTTATGTTATACACGCCTTATGTTATGTTTAAGCATTAAAACCATTGCCGCCCATTTCTGATGAATAACATGTATGCACATAGAACTGTCGACCTTATGGCCTGTTCGGTTGTGTAAATATGTTCCTAAATCGTGATGGACGTTAGCTAGCCAAAATCAAATCAAGATGGGCTACAAAGGAATTATCGGAGCTGTTTCATTCGAAATTCCAAATCAGCCCGTATTTTAAGTTTGTATGTTTCTGTTCATGTTTCCAGTGACTGTTTTATTGTTGAGCGCGCATGTAAGGCGTTCATCTTTTTTTATTCGTAGCTCAAAATTATGTTTTCTTTTAAGAAAACTAGCTGATATACATACAGCCAGGAATCATGCTGCATTAGAGCATTGCCGGAGCCGACAACAATAAAGCTTTTCGTCTATGTATTAGGTATTTATGGATCGCAAACGTGGAAATACATCTTCACATGAGAGCAACGCTTTTTTGGGAATGCTCAGTATACCTGAAGCGGTTTGACTTTCTCACACCCATCCACCAAGCACAAAAAGCCATCAGCTCGGCGGTGTTTACGGCCGACACGCGCCGCGGGCGGCTCAACACTTACGTGGCAGTTTGGGCGGCTTGTAGCGGGTGCAGTTGAGCCAATCATACTCTGGTTCTTTGTCGTCTGCGGGCGGCGTGGCGCTCCGCCGGCGCCCCGACAGGATGCCCTCGATGCTGAAGTCGCTCGTCACGCGGCCGGTGTTGGTTTCCTGTGCGGCCGGCCGGTGACTGCAGTCTCCCGGGGGACAGTCGGACAGGACGGCCGGCGGTGACCCGCACACAGTAGCGGGTGCCGCTGGCCGGCCCAGCTCGCCCCAGCCGGCCGGGGCCGGTGTCGGCAGCCAGGGAGCAGCCCACAGCTGCCCGCCGTACAGGGTCTGGCACAGCTCGTGGTAGCGCAGCACCTCCATGTAGGAGAGCTGTGTCGGCCGGTCGGGAGAGTCGCACGAGGCCTGCATGCTGCCCGCGCGGCCGGCGGACTCGGTCTGCCCGTCCGTCCCGGCGCCGCAGACGGCCGGCCGGCCCGTCCCGGCCCGCGAGAGGACGAGCAGCTAATGAGCCGTGCACCGCGGACGAGCCACGACGCACAAACGCGCTGCGACAGCACCCCTAATTGGCTAAACAAATAATGTTTGGCCAGCGTTCATGTGCCGGCCGCCACCGACCGCTAAGCCTTCCACGCGCTTTGTCCGGCCGGCCGCCAAAAGGGCCCGAACGGGTGTCGGTGGTGCGCCTAATTCGGCTTGTTCTGTTTGCCCGCGTGCCGACAAGCGGCTCAGCGGCGGGGTAACAAATCTGTCCGCCGCGCTGAGCGGGCGGCGGATTTGTTTTTCGCGCCGATAATGTTTCATAAAGCGCGGCGCATGTCTGTATCCCGTGTCAATTAGCGTCCAAATTAGCCGGGCCGTCCGAGTGAGTGGGCTCCGCGCGGGGCACGGTGGCGGCGGCCGTGGTTAATCAGGGTGCTCAGGTGCGCAGTGCGGCCCGCGGCGCCGCGTGCCGAGCAGAGCAGCTGAGTGACACGCGCCCCGGGCACTGATTACCGGTCGGACGGAGCCGTGTCTCCGCACCGCCCCGGGCGACGGCGGGGACCCGGTCAGAGCAGCAGCACGGGAACGGTGGGGAGAAGGGCGGAGCAGACGAGAGCTGAAACTGAAGAGTGGGTGAGAATGGTTATATATCGTGCTAAACGAGGTCAAATTTATTGAAAAACCACGGAACAGTAGCTCCAAACCCCTCGACCAGCCCAATGTCAAACCGTCCGGTAAGGTACAGAAAAATGTGCAAGGAGATGAGGACAGATTAGGTTGCACAAGGCCTCACGTTAAGCCGCGACTCTGGCTGACCCAGAGCTAGCTCTGTATCTCGTGCGCGGTGTTATATAATACTGAACGAGGCAGGTGTAAATAAACTTTTTAAGACCGAGGCCGAGTTCAAAAATCAGTAAGGAGGGACTGAGGTCTTGAAAATTGATCACCGGCCGAGTTTGGAATGTATTTTACTGTATGCCAACAATAAATTAATGTTCTGGACCGAAGCTCTTAGCCGACTTAGGAACGAGACCATCCCAAAATGTTGGCTTAAATGCAAACTGGTATAGTTCGTTTTTTTTCAAAAGGACGCTGGCTCAAAGTTCAATATCGAAGCTCTCACGTGAGTTTTGGCAGCTTCAGTGTCTGGCAAAGAATTTCTTACCGAAAAAATAACCGATTTCAAATTGTGCACGGTAAGTAGCTGGAAATTGTTTCTTAAAAATGATCATACTATGATGACGTCACTGGTGGCAGCAGGCACCCAAATGTCCGTGCAATGGGACAAGTGTCAACGAATTTGGGTGAAACTTAGTTTTTCACTGTTGCCGAGCTTATAATCGAGTAAGCAGTTCCGTCCATGATAGTTATAAGTTACATTGCAATACACAGTGATCAAGGTTCCATGAACCGAAAGCTTTGTGTGTCTTTTTGAATATATTTGAATGCATTTGTAATAATTTGGTTTATTATTTGCATCATCATCCAACCTGTCATGGATACTCAACATTGCAATACATGTTCGACAGTATGACGTCACCACTGTTCTCATATATGCAGTGGCGGATCCAGGGGAGGGCAAAATGGGCATTTGCCCTCCCCAAAGCCAAATCGTGTGGGCAAGACTATCTTTTTGCCCCTCCCAAAGCATGTAGCGATGAGCAAATCTAATACGGCGTCGATGGCTATATGGACAAAAAGCAGGGCTTCTGTCCGTGACGGCCATTCCGAAGGAAGGAGCGGACCACTTGCTGCTGGTATTTTGGGTCGGTATGCTGATATTAGATTGCACCCCCTGAACTGAATGCATGTATAAGTATATGCAGTGTGGCCAATGGCCATGGTGTGGGGTAACACGGGGCAAGATGCCCAGTCGGGTAAGACGCCCACCACCCTATATTCGAAATTATCTAAGCAGTCCACAGTTTTGTCATTTGTTGGGAGCCTCATTGCTGTGGAGCGTTCCGCGTAAAAAAAAAACGGCGACGTGCCTAGCCGCCATTTTATACCTATTTTTTGCATATGTTCTGAAAATGTCAGACCAAGGTCTCTCAAGGTCACGATGTAACTATAGCTGCACGTCAAGTGACATAACCTAAAAACATTTCCAATGCTTGCCATAGCTAAACCGAGTGACGGATCGCTTTGAAACTTTCAGCAGTTAATAAGGGTAACAGTACCTATGTACAAAATGTTAGTCACATGATTTTTATATCGATGACCTAGGGCTAGGTCATTTTTGCGACCTCTCCACTATAAGTAAATAAGAGAAAATTGAAAGGCACCTTTTTTTGGGCAAACCTCCTGTCCGGTAGCTCAGTTGGTAAAGCAATGGACTCCTGGTAGTGAGAGCCCGGGTTTGAGTCGCTCCGGCGCTCGATATTTGAGACTCCTGACGGGGATGGTCTGAGGTTGGTGGGAGCAGCCGCAGCCAGTCAATGTCAGGAGTGGGACAGGCTGTGTCCGGCTTTGAAGGGCACGTTAAACATTGGCATTGTTAAACGTTCAACTAAATTCTCCTGTCACCCGGAATTACGCGATCGGACAGTAGGGGTTGGGCTCTACGCAACAAGCTCTGCTTAGCGTAGGCTCCGGCTCCCGTCAATCCGCCCTTTCAAACATTCGTGCTAAATTTATAAGAAACGTCACTCTTAACAATACCGAGTTACAACCTAAACAGCACACAGTGAACCGGAAAATAGCACCCGTGACCCCTCCTTATGTCCCTGAGATCATCTCAGGTCACGAAAGATATGCAATAGTTTGCAGCAATTCGCTAATAACTTCTGCTGGAGGCATTCTAGAGCAATAGAAACACCTTAGATGTGTTCAGCTTTACGATACGGATCGACTGATATGCAACACGACCTTTTCCATGGTCATGACTTGACCAAATGTTAAAGTTGTAAGCTCACTTTTTAAGATCAAATTATAACTCATCCGACGCGTCTTCGCGAGAGGAACACGATGCCGGTAAAAGTAAGATCGCACAAGGTTTGATTCAAAAGTTATCGCAGAAAATCCGTTCCCGTAAAAATAGTAGGTATATATTATGGCAGTTTCCCCTGGAGGCTAAACCGTTGATCTTAGGTCTAATCTGAGCGAATTGCCCAGAAAGAGCAGTAACAGTGCTATCAAATTAGCTTTTCTGGGGCGCTCTAGCTCTATTCGTTTCCGAGTTATGCGCCAGTTCTTCAAAAATTCTCGAAACTGGACCTAAATATTATCGGGATTTGGCCTTTGATGGGCTCTGGTGATCTGACATCTGATCTGACCTTAAAAGTGACTGGGGTAATTTGGTCATTATGTTTGACACTCTTTCAAACGCCGCCTACCGCGTGTTGCTACGTGGTCCAGGAGCCGAGTTAGAAGGGATATGGGTGTTCAAACATCCCCCAGGGGCGTGAAAATCCGGGAGCCCCAGCGCGGCTGGCACGGGTTAACATGAGACATCTTACACCATCTTACGGTAAGATAGTGTAACTGGCGTTGTGAAGTAACTTGGTCACTGGCGCGGTGGTGGGTCGGGGTCGCCGATGGTCGGCTAAACTTTTGCCCTCCCCAAACGGATCGGCTGGATCCGCCCCTGCATATATGGTTCCAAAACGCACACATGGAAATTATCGGGAAGAAATCACATGTTAAAATTAGTCGACGTTCGATTTTCTCAGGTTCAGTTTTTGCTCGTTTTGCTCGCTAAAACACGTGCTTGTTCGAAAAACATACTTGGAGCCAGCGTCCTTTTGAAGAAAAAAAAACGAACTATAATGCATTTTTGACCGTGGTCAATTTGCTTACACCAGTTATTACCACATGCCGAGATATCCCTTTAACATTAGCACGTGCATTTGGGAAATGGCTTCGGCCCGCCTCGGCTAATGTTGAAGGTATTTGGGAAACGATTCGGCCCTAGGGCTTTTTGATTTTCCCAGACAAAGTTTTACTGAATATTCTGAGCGGAAGAACCAAATCCAAAGAAGCTATTTTCGTATTGTGTGTTCACTAACAGCAACAGCAGAAGTGAACAAATTAAGTGACGGTGTTTTCACTTACTTTTGCTGTCAACGTAATTCAACTAAACAAGGGTAGGTATCGTTCCAATGCCAATGTATTTATTGCTGCAGAACATGGTCAGGGTACCTACTCATTATTACAACATAATGCACGCAAAAAAAAAAACGAACACTTTAAATGCGCGAAGCATCTTAACGAGCCACAATGAAACATTTGGATATTGTTCCAGCTGGGATCTAGGGCGCGTTTGATTCAGCGTTTCACCCCATTTTCAGTTTTCCTCGCGGTTTCCTCACTCCTGCTGGGTTCCATATCTTTATAGTTTATTCTAACTTCTGGCGCTTCACCATCTTCATCCTCAGCTTTTTCAATCCCTAAATAAGGGAAAAGTAAGAAATTTCATCTTTCATACTCAGCGGCCAGCGCCGCCCAATAATGAAAAACACAAAAAATAATCGCGGTGACTATAAATATGAACATAGTATTAATAGAATATTAACACCATATTAGGAATATAACATACAGTACCAAATGAATATGATATTAACTGTTACGCCGGTGCGGCATGTGGTAAATCTCTTCCCAACCTTGGGCTGTGAAAATGCAGTTTTATCACAGGGGAGCAATGCCGCTTCAACCCTATTGGCCGTAGTGTCTAACGGTGGCGGCCATATTGCGCAGACCAGAAACCGGCTGCCGCCTGTGTTGAGGAATAGGGAATTCGGGACCTCGATTTACGTTTGCGGCCGCCGTATCCGTTACGTTCAAGTTACGTAGATACGGAACCCGGCATCTTACGCAGAATTGAGTGGGGAACACGATCGTATCTTCAGAATTCCTCAAATTTACTCGCCTGACCTACATTTGCCCCGGCCGAGGGGGTTGATTGAACCCACCTCGCTAATGCACCGCTAATTAAACTAGAATTAAGCGGTAAAGTGGTCGTGTGCGGCAAATTATAATGCAGAGTGACTGGTAGGAACCCGCTGTAAGGGTCTCAGGTCAACCGGTGACCTCTGAGGTCAGGTCAAGTGATCTAAGGCACGGGTTCGGTTTTTGGTAAATAACTTCGCCAAAAATGGCCGTAGAGCCGCGATTTTGGCATCATCGTGTTCAGCTAGCTCAGGCGCATCGAGTGATATACTTTTTGTTCGGGTCAGGTCAACTTAGGGTGTTGACCTCAGGTCAAGGTCAGGTCAGCACCCCCAGGTCACGAAGTTGGTCGAAAGAGGTCATGTCGCATATCATTCGATTCGGCAGGTCTTCCTGAGTCCATTGGTGGCTTTCCCGACTCGCTAGCTCAATTTGATCGGGAGTTATTGAAGAAAAATGGTGACCCTTGTGACGTCACAAATGACGTCACGCAAGGGCAACAATGCAAATATGAAGCATAGAACCTTGCAAAGAGTGCATGAAATCATGATTTTATATGTTTGAGATAGTTTCAGATCATTCTCGGCGCCAAAATAACAATTTTCATATTTCCCCATTGACTTATAAGGGTTTAACGTATTAGTTCCTTATAGCTGATGATTTTTTAGGATTTCATCTTGTTCTCCACTCAATTCTGCGTAAGATGCCGGGTTCCGTGTCCACATAGCTTGAGCGTAACGGATGCAGCGACCGCAAACGTAAATCGAGGTCCCGAATTCCCTATTCCCCAGCACAGGCGGCGGCCGCTTTCTGGTCTGCGCAACATGGCGGCACCGTTGGACACCATTTGGCGGCCAATGCGCATTCCACATTATAGAGTTCAGTGAGTTTTATTCACCTCGGTTTTTGGCTACGGACCTCGTGCCTACCGGCACTCGGTCCTCCGCACAAAAACCTCGGTGAATAAAACGCATTTTCCCAGCCCCGGTCGGGAATATATATTACCACACCCCTCCGGCTAATGTATTTGAATAGGCCAGGCATACAGTAA